TTTTAGTATTTCACCATTTTTTTCTAAAGCAGTAAAATAGAAATTAATAGAGGCATTGCAGTTCTTCCTTCATGTTTTTATGACATTTCCTCACATTTGTGTGCATAATAAATGTGGGTATAATTTTATGACTTTAGATCAAATAGGAAAGTCATCAATTGAATTGAATTTTTTGACTGATGTTATCCATGCAGCACAAAGTCAGAGTTGAAAGCATATTCATGTACAATTATACTTGTTGGAGTATGTGTGTGTAATGCCTTTAAAGTGAGAGAGGGTAGATTTAGAATAGATGATAAGAGTAAATTGTTAAATGCAAGGGGGATGAGACATGAGGGAGGGCTGCCCAGAGAAGCTGTGGCTGCCCCATCCCTGGGAGTGTTGCAGGCCAGGCTGGATGGGGCTCTGAGCCACCTGGGAGAGTGGAGGTGTCCCTGCCCGTGGCAGGGGTGTTGGAGCTGGGTGATCCTCGAGGCAGCCATCCTGGGGTTCTGTGCCACACACTCTGTGCTGCAGTGGGGTCTGCAGGTGGCATGGAGATAAGGCTCTGTCCTGCTGCTCAGTCAGTCAGGGCTGATCCTGGGGACAACTTTGAAGTTTTTTGGGCTGAGCAGGATCTGTGTGGGCACAGCATGGCTGTGCCTGCAGGGCTGGCTGGTGGGACATGTTAGCATGCAGAATTTGCAGGTTTGCATCACTTGGGCAAGGGTGGCTGCAGTAACTGGTACCTGCTCCTGGCATGCTGGAGGTGCTGACTGGATGTTTATCTAAGCAAGGACAGGGACAGGGAGCAGCTCTTTTAATTAGCAGTGCACTGTGTCCTGATGATCTCCAAGCCTGCAGATTGCAGGGATAAGTGTAATCAGTAGAGGAGAGAAGGAGCTTGGGCATGCAAAGGTGCTGCAGTAGCTTCCTCAGAGGGGTCAGATGATGACCACAGGCAGTGATTCCTCCAGGAGCTACTCTTTGCCTTCAGCAGCATCCTCCTTCTCACTTGTTCTGCTGCATCTTCTCAGCAAATATATCCTAACCAGTAACTCCAGCTGTCAGTTGGAGACAGAAATACATTTTATTTCTGTAGTAAACTGGATTTCTCCAAAAAACAGTGCACTGTTGAGTTTGCCCCTTCATTTCCATAACTGAGAGACATGCAGCAAAATCCTGTGACAAAAGAGCAATTAGGTATATTCATGTATTATTCTTTTTGGTTTGAAAATCACTTTTCAACTCCACAATCAATAGCTGGATGCTCTAATTTGCTATAATAAACTTCCTTCTTTAAACTTTTATGGTGTAAAGGGTAGTAACTGCTGAGTGACCAGCACAACACATGCTTTTCTTTATCTGAAACAAGCAATCTAGATAATTTAATGTTACAGAGACATTCTTTGAGGGCCTGGACCCCACAATAAGTTTGGGAGTCCTGGAACTAGTGCATATTAGTGAGCTGCAGATATCATTTTCACAATCAGAAATATCCAGTGTAGGGAAACAGGGGAAAAATTCTAGGCAGGTGTTACCCAGTTCCTCTCAGTAAGGTGGAAATAATGGCAAGATAATTCCTGAATTCAGGAAGTTGCCTGTATAGTCTTACATAGCAAGTCCCAAACCTACCTTGTGTTCTCACAAACTGTAGTATGTAATTCATTATTTTGATAGGGGTAATGTCTGTTTCATACAGAATTTGGGAAGGGAGCATTTGGGGGTTTTAAGTTTCATTAATTTGTTTAAAGGACTCGGTGTCCTTTGCAGAAGTTGACTGATTTTCTGCTGGTTGTTACAGTTTACACCTCCATGCTCTTTCTGTCATACTGACAGTTTTAGAATAAGGACTTCATCAGTTCAGAACTATTTTTATTATTTTCTTCTGGGGTCTCTTTTAAGCTCTCAGTCCTTAAATCTTCCCTTACAAGTAGGAAATTCTTTTGCTGCCTCCTGCATTCATTCTGTCTGGCAGGAGTGAGTTACTGGGACAGAGGGAAAGCACAAATATCAGTGTAGTTTAGCTGCCCTGTGGAGAGCTAGGTGAAGATATGTTTTATATATGTAGTATTTCATGATGGAAAACACCAAACTACTGTTCTACTTAAACTGGAGAAATTCTGAGCAAATTCTTTGGAGTGCAGCAGTAAACATGGGGGCCCTTTTGATGTTTTAGGTGAGTTTCCATTCTAGGGAAATGGGCTGACTAAGAACTCTCAGCATAGAAAATATAGACACTGCAAACTTCATGGAATGCTTGTGTTTGTACCAAGAGTATTTTTAGTCCATGGGTTTAGGCTGCATGGAAGAGCAGTGTGCTTCTTGAGGTTGGTATTGTTACTGCTTTTTTTACAAACAAACTAACCCAAACAAGCAGAGAATCCAAAGTGATTTTGCCCAAAATAACTGGCAGAGGAACTACAAGTCCTGATTTTGATTCTGTGCTCTGGCTACTATCAGGTTTTACCATTTGTTTCAACACGTGCAGGTGATGAGAAGGACAATATTTATGATCACTGAGCTTTTTTTTATGTGTTTTCTTTCATGCTTTTGTAAACAAACTTTTTTTTTATTTGGTCTAGGAGTTATTGTCAGTGTTGATTTATGTTGTTATACGTGAACATAAATCTCTGTTGTTTAAAAATTATGTTTTGTAAATGGCTGTTCATGATTTTAAATTATGAGCACAGGAAGAGCATCTAAAAGTCCCTCAGCTTTCCTGTCATGTTTGTCCCCATGTGAAAATAATTTATCTCATTTTTATTTCTCTAGACCCACTTTTAGGAGCTTAAACTTCCTTTTGAGTTGGTGTCAAAGATCACCCCTTTTCTACCCAGTTTCCACATGGGTTGAGTCATCAAAGGCAACTGAGGGCGTTGATAGCCAGCTCACTCCTTTGTGTGCATTTACTGCACAAATTGACATGAGTTAATGCTACCAGCTAGCTAGGCTTGAGCAGACTTTTTATTTTCTTTCTCCTTTGGTTTTCTTTCCCCTTTTTCTTTATTTTCCCCTTTTACCTTCCCCCTCTTCTTGACATTCATACGCCCTTTTTGTAGACCTGTTGTGACTGGGAATTCAGTCCCAGTGAAAAAACAAATAATAAATGAAAGTAAAAGTCATTACATGGCTTTAGCACTAACCTTTGCTTTCAAGCTGTGTTGTCCATGTTTTTATTCCATGATTTACCCATCATCCCTATTCCTCTGTAACACAGGTTTTGTGCATCTGTATTTTGAGGTAGGCCAATGATTGGGCCAGATCAGTTTGTGGCCCCTGTGGTGTGTCTTTTGTATGATCAGGTTTTTTCAAGGGAATGTCCAGCAGTCCCTACAAAGATGAGTAGGACCCTGTTTGTGCTGACCTGTTCTGGGATTTAGCAGCTGGATCAGGCGTGGGAGATCAGTTATCATTTCCTGTGATCTTCCATGAGCTGCACCATAACTGAAACTGAGGCATCTGGTAAACAAACCAGATATCTGCTCTCTCAGTCTGCATTAAATAAACAAAGTCACATTGAACACTATTTGAGTAGATATAGATTTCTTAACAGGTTACCAAGAAATTTTTATTAAATTCTTTATGATCGAATTAAAATGATTCTGCTCACTTTTAGATGGCTAAGCACAAGAAGGCGCTTCAGTTGGGTAAATTTTATTAGCATGTCACATAGCCTTTCCTCAGATATGGAATTTTCAAGAACCTTTGATAGGGAATAAGTACATGGCACATGATCAGGACTTTCAGTTCATGCTGTACTTGGAGGAGCCTAGAGAGGAAAACACAGTTTGAGGAATTGCAAAACCGGAAATCTGTAAACCAGACTGCAAAATTTTTGGTTGTAATTTCCTGCCCTTCCATTTGAATGCCCAACTGCCAGCCAGGGAAATATTGTAAGTACTGACTGTTCTATACAATTCTGCAATTACAAATACTAATTGGAGTAGTATTCATGCCCTCCAGGAAAGTGGTTCAGAACATAATCACTACAGTAAAATCTAAGTTCTAGATATTGTGTGTTTCAGGTAATAGCTAGTATTGTGAGTGAAAACCATTAAATGAGGCACCCAGTAATGTACTTTATTACTTCATTCTTCAGGTCTACTGCAGAAATAATTGTAAGCACAAATTTAGATTACCTGCTTCTTTGCCACATGCAGTATACAAGACTTATTTTTTAAAATAAGTAGTAGCCTTATTTTTTTAAAAACTAAGAATATGATAAAAGATTTCATTATTTGGGTCATTGAAATAAATTTCCTTTCTTTGTATGTGGTTATCAAGAATATTAAACAACTCCCTGGGAGACTAGTGCAACCTAAATAAATAGATGTACTTGAAAAAAATGGTTCATTCATAATGACTAATGCTGTAACAATTCTGGGCTTGTTTGAGACTTTACAGTGATCCAGACCCTTGTGACTTCAAAGAACATACCCAAATTAGCACTCTTTCAGGAATTGGATTTGGGTCATGCAGTTCAGTAAATAACACTGAAGATAACGATTTATCTCATCTTCTGCTGTTGCAACAAATGCAGATTATCGGAAGGACTCAGCTGACACTTATGTTAAATTTCATTACTACTGTTCTAAATAAAATGAGAAATCATTTTCATCTCTTTGAATACTGATTTCTGTGTTGTACAACTAGGTTATTAAAAATACTGTGGTTTGTTGGCAAGGAAGATGTTTTATATTACAAATGTGTTCTGTACTGTTATCACAAAATTCTTACCTCAGTTCTCATTTTTCTATTCTGAATCAAGAAGACCATGCCTGGCACTGGCATTAGACTTGTATACAACCTTCCTGTGTGTTAATTTCTTGAATGGCACTAAACTGGAGATAATTTCTCTAGCCCATATTGCAGTACAAAAGTTGATATATTTCATATTTCAGTCTGTACTACTAATCATATACATACACCTATGTGTGTGTCAGTTCTGAAGTCGTAGCCTTTAAAAGAAATTGAATAATAGGACTGACTGGTCAACTTTGCACATTTTTTGCTTTCAGAAATTAGCACCTGGGGTTAGTCAATTTGCTTACACCTGTGTACAAGATCATCCTATCTGGACTAACCAGCAGTTCTGGGAAACAACCTTCTACAGCAACGTGCAGAATCAAGTTCGCTCCCTCTACCTTACAGCCAAAGATGACAACCATGCAGTGCAGTTGAAACAAAAGGTAGGAGACTCTATTAAAATATTAGAGTAATATTTTTATTCACATATTAATTGTCTCCTAGGTTACACAGAGTTAAGTTATGGTTTTTCCAATTTTACATGTTTTTCTTTCATTTTCTCCTGCATTACACAGTATGCAATAACATGAGAAATAATAGAAATTTACATTTATCTGCAAAGCATTATAATTTGATGTTAGCTCAGCTTAGTGTGGAAAAAGCATTTGCAAGATATCTAGTCATTCATTAATTTAACATCAGGCTTTAGGTCACTAATATCAGCTGCCAGATTCCTTTATTCTGCTTTGACTGTGTGCCATCTACCTAGTTGCTTTAAGCTAATGCTAGAATTGGACTCCAGCATATAAAAACACGAATGTTTCAGCTGGTCTGGAAGCTATTTATATAAAAGCTTCCCTCACCTGAACATCCTAGGAATTTGGAGAATATTGCCAGCATTGAGCCATGAGCTGCATGTTATTTCTCAATCTGATTTATGCTTGTTCTTATTTGAGCTAAGTGGATAAGCTGAGGAGAGCAGCTGTGTTAAAATCAGTTAAAATCACCACTCTGAAGAAACATGGAAGATTGGATGGCATAAAAAAAACCTTAAAAGCAATGGTGTTATTTAGATCTGCCCACGTTGTGCTACTGGTGCATTTCAGTAAACTGCTCTCAAACCTCAGTTCCCATAATCAGAACTCTCCTTAAACCCTGTTGAGGGTAGTTATTTGCTCTTTCTTTTTAAATGAATATATTATTTAAATAACTGAAGAAGTTTAATTAGCAATGTAATAAGTAAAGCTTTGGCCAAGTATTTTTTTGTTGTTGTTGTTGTAGCTTTATCTTTTCTTCTATGTCTTTATATTTCTTTCTCTGTGTCTTCTAGGAGAAACCTCCTGCAGACCAGGAGAAGACAGCAATGGACCTGGCTGCTGAGCAGCTGAGGTTATGGCCAACCCTTAATAAACAGACACAGCAGGAGCTGGTCCAGAATGAGGAAAGCACAGTTTTCAGCCAGGCCATTCATTTTGCCAACCTCATGGTCTACCTGCTGGTGCCCCTGGATACAAGTAAGAACAAGCTGCTGAGGACATCAGCCACTGGGGACTGGGAGAGTGGAAGCAACAGCATTGTCACAAACAGGTGGGTACCCAAGGCCACAGGATAGGCCACAGCTTGCACAATGGCTGTACTCTAAATACCAGATTGTTTCAGCATCTTCACCTCCTTTCAAGTTCAGTAGTTGAGTAGAAGTCTAACATGATTCCTCTCAAATAACAGAATTTTGTCTGGAGTGATTCCATTTAAAAGAACATTGTATTGTCCCAGTAAGAATTTTTAATCTAGTAATGCAGATGTCGAAGACAAACATGGGGTTTGGTGAGAAAGAAAACAGCAGCCCCAAACCCACTCTGTTAGTTTTTATATAACTTGAAAAACCACTGTATGAACCTAAAATCGAGACAGCACTTGTATAGCATCTATAAAATCATCATTTCTGTGCAACAGCTGCAAAGGAGGAAAGGCACTGAGGTCACAAAAAGCAAGAGGACTAAACCACAATGGCAAAGGTTAAATTACTAAGGAAGCAGTAGGAGTATAACACCAGTTCCATTCATTCCCTAGCATGCAAATCCAGGACATTTCATAACAAGCCTTCCTCCCTCTTTGTTTATTGTCTTCATTATCACCTCTCTGTACAAATTCTCACTTGATAAAATTATAGAACACTATGTGAGTACATTGGCATCAAGTAAAAGACTATCAGAATGAAGCTCCCCATGGAGTTACTAATTTCTGCTGACTACACACCTCTAATCTCAGGCATTAGGATGTGCTCAGTAGACTGCTTGTGGTGTATGTTGCAATCTATTAATTTGGCCCCAAATATTATTATGGGAGGCATTTTTAGCCATTCAAAGTACATCTCCCACTGACTTGCTTGCTTATCTAATGCACAAAAATTTTTTCTTAGAATCTTTTTAGCTTTTGATTGCTTTCCTCTGTAACCAAAATATACAATTAATGATTTTCTATATAACTGGATATTTGCTTACCATGGGTTGCAAATACTTTACTTGACTTTATGAAGGGAAGACACAGAGCTTATTTCCAAAAACCTGTTTTTTCTCTTCTGGGCCTATCTATGTTGAACTCATGGAGAGAAAATTGCCCAATATCATCATTCATGAAGTTTTGGCAATGAAAGTACAATGTAATTGTGGTACCACCATATGCTTTTAGCATGGTTTGTGAATTGTAACTAGGAAAAACCCACACAGCTTGTTAGTGTCTGTTCAAGTGTCACATGTGCATCACCAGCTGAATTGTTCACACTTGTTGCTGCTTTTATTTCTGCCCTTAGCATTGCAGGCAGTGTTGCAGAGAGTTATGACACTGAGAGTGGGTTTGAGGACTCAGAGAACAATGATGTTGCGAACGCTGTCGTGCGCTTCATCACCAGATTTATTGACAAGGTCTGCACAGAAAGTGGCGTCACACAGGATCACATCAAGGGTCTGCACTGCATGATACCAGGTAGGAATTGTCACAAAGAGGTGCTTTATAGTCTTCTTTCTTTTCCTAATGCACTTGTTAATTTGAGTTACCTTCAGATAAGTTAGAGTGTTAGATTTCTTTTCCAGACTGTAATTGCTGTTGAATGTCAGATAATTATTTTCTTGATGTCAAAATTTGAGAATTTCAGAATTCTCAGAGTTTTGATTTCAGGGCAGCTTTCTCTTTCCCATTGTGTGAGACTTCATTTATGGTGTTCCTACTTTTCAGGCATAGTAGCAATGCACATAGAGACTCTGGAGGCTGTCCATCGTGAGAGTAGGAGGCTTCCACCAATACAGAAGGCAAGTGTTATGAAATGTATTTGTATTCTTTACAAGTAGTTGAATCATTAAACCTTGTCATCTTTTTTTTTCCTCACATAATGTTATGAGGAAATATCAAAACATTAAAAGAAAATTTCCACTAGTGATAAATAAAGTGCTTGGCTTTGGTCTCATGAAATATGAAACTAGTAGAGCCAGACCTCTGATCATAAACAAGCTGTTGCATGCCCACTGCTTTTTGTGACCCATTTCTCTTCCTTGAGTCCAAACTCCATCTCCCTTCTTTGGACTAAGTGTCATAACAATTTTGTTTTTAAACTTTTAAAGCCAAATGTTATTGCTAGCCTGAGGTATAACACTGATTTACACTTACATTTCCATTTATTTGCATCAGCCCAAAATTCTACGGCCAACTTTACTGCCAGGAGAAGAATTTGTTTGTGAAGGTCTCCGTGTGCTGCTGGATCCTGATGGCAGAGAGGAAGCCACAGGAGGACTGCTTGGAGGGCCTCATATCCTCCCTGCTGAAGGAGCTTTGTTCCTTACCACTTACAGAATTATATTTAAAGGCACTCCTCACGATCAACTGGGTAAGAAAATCCAAACAGTGGTAATTGTGGTCCTTCAGATAGGCAGGATTTTGAGCTGGCCTGTCTGCCTATTCAAGCATCAACATCATTAAGCAGTTTTGTTCAGATACTGGAAGCAAGTGAAAGGAAAAATATTCATGAGTTGGTATTCTACCTAAAATTATTGCTTGGAAATAACAGTATTTTCTTAATATGTCAGCTCTTCTGAATGATATTTTTTCATAGTTTAACAATTGCTATTTCTAATCAGATTGTCAGTCAGAAGTATTAAAGTAGAAAGTTCATGGTCATATGTAAAGATATCAAGTATATAATTTCTGTTTATAAGTTATGTATTGCATTATGACATCTGAATAAACTTGAAATTGTTTCTTTACCCCCTAACAGCCTAGGTTTTGGGGGTGCATTTCCATTATGTACAAAGACTCAGAAGGAAGGAGAATATTTTTCTAATAATCACAGCTGAAATGGAGTAGAAATTCAGATTACAAATGACGCTTTAGGAATTTGCAAACTTTTTGGGTATTTTGCCTGAAATTAATCCTGTACCATCATGTTCATGTTGCTTGGTACTTATTCACTGTTGTTTATTCCAGTGAGAGTGTGAGCAGAGGTTGTGTGGTCTGACAAGTGTCTGTGTTGTATCCTCAGTTGGGGAGCAGACCGTGATCCGGAGCTTTCCCATCGCCTCCATGACCAAGGAGAAGAAGATCAGTATCCAGAACCAGCTGCAGCAGAGCATGCAGGAAGGGCTGCAGATCAGTTCAGCCACTTTTCAGGTAAAAGGAAGTTTTGTGAAAATTTATGTGGCTACAGGCAGCTCAGAATATTTACGAGCAGCACTTTGCCCTGGTATTTGTGAGGAGTCTGGTTCTCTGCCCTGTAAGGTCAATAGACAAGGCAGAACTCATAGAAACCCTGGCATTTCTTGGCCCTCTTGGTATTTACAGAGGGTTGCTATTTTCACATTGGATTTCTTTCACTGCTTTCCTCACCTATTTTGGAACCAGAAAAGGGCTGGTTTTGGTCCAGAATCCCTGCATGTAGGTAGAGGCCTAGGGAGAACCTGCTTCCTCTCTCCTCCAGCTACATGGAATCAATATGGAAAAGCTCTGAGTGTTGCTTTCTTCTCAAGGTTTGTCACTTCACCAGCTTTCTGTTAAAATCCATGGCAGAAAGTCCTGGAATGTTGCACATGGAAGCTGCACTCCAGGAATCTTCAGGGTAGAACCAATGAGCCTCTATACGACAGGCACAGATCCTGGAATTTTCTGGAATTCTGGGATCCTGGAATCAGTGTGTTCAGCAGAAGTGTGTATTGCAGGGCAATTGATAGAGATGTGCTGGTAAAAATTAGGAATCCTGCAATCTTTCCTGAATTTTCCTTCTTGGTTTTGATCTTAACTGTGGTCAAACCCTAAGAGATCAGAAGCTGCAAGCAAAGAATTCTGTATCATGGACTGAAAGTAGACTGCAGTGCTTAAGATATGAAATACTTTGATGGGTTGACTGACTGCAGAAGCGTATTTTCATTGAGAACAATAACTCCAACATTTGAAACCATAACAAAACAGCATTTTACTAATTCCTTACAGTAATGAACATGATTTAGCTGTTCATCCTTCAGTATCCTCTTCAAAAGCACAAAATTAGGAATGCCAATGAGTAAAACTAGCAAAAAAAAAGTTGTTCTTGTGGACTTTTGAGGGGACTTTTATTTTCCAGAAATCTTTTTACCAGAATACTTAGCATGCTTCAATGATGTGATAAATACAGACAGAGCTCAGTGTTTTCAGAGCTGGATTCGGGTCAAACATCATCTTTGCTTTTGTTTAGCATAGTTTTGTATTAGGTTATGAGAACAAAAACAAGCCACAAACAGTTTATTCCCTGTCCCCTATGTAACAGCCAGGGTTCAACACAGGGGATGAAATAGCCCCTCCCCTTTCTTTATTAATTATGATTTTCAGATGGGTTTGTGTGCAGCTATGCTGTTTGGTATCTTTAAAACTTCAGATCTGTGTAACCCTGAAAGACTGAAAGGCTCCTTTCAAGGAGGTCCTAGAACAACAGAGCCATTAGTCATTTGGAAAGTATTTACAAAACAAGTGAAATTGGAAAAGCAAGGATGAAATCCACCTCCTAGATTGCAAGCAAAGGAATTTAAAAGGTGTCTAGGTATGTGCTCAGAAACAGAGCTCTAGGATATTTCTTTGTTTGTTTTCTCCACATTCTTAGAGTTCTTCTGGGCCTTTTTATGGATTCCGTATTTTCTGTCTCTTATTTGTTTTCCCCGAATTGTTGACTTGCTTTCAGCAGAGGATGATTGGATGGGATTTTTTCCCCCCCACAGAACCTTTCTAAAAAGCATTTTTAATCAAGTGGATGGATCAGTGTTGAATAGCACAAGGTTATTTCCTTTTTAAGGAGCAGATTTCACTATCACCTTTTTTACTAGCAATTTTCTATACTTTGCAAGGTGAGGCCAAAATTGGAACATCTTAGTAATAGAAATATAATGGTTGTGACACATGAATGCTGAAATTGCTGGCTTGCTGAGTCTTTGAAGTGCATTACCAACCTCAGCTCCCAGGGTAGGGGCAGAGCTGGCAGACTGTTTCCCAGCTAAGCTGTCCCATGTGACCAGAATTTGAACTGCTGTAGATGTCTTAGTGCCAGCGCTACAACTTGGATTTACCAAAATATTTTGTATTTGATCTTATGAGAATTCCAGATGCTGCCTAGTGAAGATACCTTAGTATTAGGACATGAATTTAAAAAAGGAAAAAAAAAATTCTTAAAATGTGTAATAGTCGTCAAAATAAATGAGACATATGTACATGTATTTGTATTTTCTGAAGGTCATAATATGGGAATTTTGCTACTATATTTTAGAATCTTTCAATTTCTGAAATTCTCAGATTGTTTTCCAGTTTCTAACATGTCATGTCTTTCATACACAGTTAATTAAAGTAGCATTTGATGAAGAAGTCAGTCCCGAAGTGGTGGAAATATTTAAGAAACAATTGATGAAGTTCCGCTACCCTCAGTCCATCTTCAGCACTTTTGCCTTTGCAGCTGGGCAAACAGCACCACAGATAATTCTCCCCAAACAGAAAGAAAAGAACACTTCATTCCGGTACAGCCTTTCTTCCTTTCTTATCTCTTCCTACTGATGTTCTTGTCTTGTGTTATCCAAATGCACTGAACAACCTGAAAGCTCTGCACAAGTGGAGATCATGTCAAAATAAGTGATTGGTAGTTTGCATCTCTTTGTATTTCCTGAGTAAGAAATAGATTAATACGGTACAGATATTTATTTGGGATAGGAATTATGTTATTGATCTAAACTTCTTTCTGCAGTAGAATTGAATTATTGCATTTTGAAACACACAAAATAGAAGTAGCAACTTGAGCTATGCAACCTCAACATGGAAAGAAGAATGTGTATTACTTTATAATTAGTAGCCTAGCCACTTAAAGCCTGATGAGAATTAGGATTAATTTTACCCTGTGCATTTGCCTGACTGGTTTTTAATTTAGAGTTTGAGCTTTGGGTCCTCTTTTGAATTTTATGTTCCATGTTAATTTTTATTGGACCAGCTGCACCATTAGTCTGTTCCAGAGTGGTGGCTCCTGTGATTCTTTGTTGATTAGTGCATTGTTGACACAGGAAATAGAATCCCAAGCTAGTCATGAAATCCTAAAACTTAAATATAATTTCTATCTTTCCTGCCTTTACTTTGGCAACTTTCTAGTTTTATCACAGTACTAGCAAAATAAAAAAAACTAAAGAATGAAAAAAACCTAAAGAATTTTTCTACTTGTAATGAACCTCTTTAATGATGATATTCATTACCAGTAGAAAAAAAAGACACAAATTTATCTTAAAGTAATACAATTTTCATTTAAAAATTAACATAGGAAGCAATTTTTCTGAAGTTTACGGTTGTTGTATTAAGTGCAGAACGGTTCAATCCATTTTATTTGCATTCTCTCTAGAAATCTGTAAATGCTATCAGGCAGAATCAGATGAATGTTTCCAAATGCTTTTGTTGTTCTGGATTTACAGTACCTTCTCCAAAAGCATTGTGAAGGGAGCAAAACGTGCTGGGAAGATGACAATTGGGCGCCAGTACTTACTGAAGAAGAAAACAGGAACCATAGTGGAGGAGAGAGGGAATCGGCCTGGCTGGAATGAAGAGGATGATATCTCTGGTAAGAGTGTGACTTCTCTGTCCATGTTGGTTAATAAACCTGTCCTCTTATGCTTCCATTCTCATACTGAATGAAAAATGCCTTCAAGAAGAAATTGAAGCGTTTTCCTAGACAGGAAAGAGAAGGGCTTCAAGAGAAGCGTTTAGTGAGTGTTTTCTTTTGCAATGAGAAGAGGAAGTTGGCTTAATTCAATGCTACAGCAAAGTACTAGATTGCTTTTTAATTATCAAACTATTTAGATATGGTATCTTTTAGATCATTTTTACATCATGCTAGTGGAGATGAAACAGCACAGAAGCATGCTGCAGCTTCCATTTATCTCTAGACATCTGACACCTGCAGCTAGTCTGTGATGAGGAAGCAGTCACTGGTGAGGTGCAAGAGGGAGTAAATTGGAGACTTTTGTGGATGTGGAACTGAGAAATGATTTCTGAAAGCAGCAGAACTCGTTACTACTGAAAATACTACTTCCCATATTTTTGGTTGAAATTTTTTGGGGGTAGAAGGTAGAAAGAGGTTTGGGCTCTTTGTGCAGTTTGTGTGATGGTGTGGAGTTTGACTTTTCCCAAAAAGCCTCTTTTCCTTCTCCCAAATGCTGCTTGGATATCCTTCTCTGGACCACTGCTAATTTATAATAAACCACTAGAGGGAACCAGATTCTCCTGTACATAAACAGGTGTTGTTTTGTCAAAGCATTCTTTCTTTAAAAAAAAAAAACATTGCCATCTCAGATAATGAGGTGTTCTTCAAACACTGATAATTTCTTCCAAACATCAAACAAGCCGAATTTTGCTGTTGAATACTTGGTCACTGTACAAGGCAATTCATGTGACTTAGGAGCAGATGTATGAGAGTTGTCTAAAGCAGGAATGAAGCCTCTGCTCTCTCTGAAATGGAAGAAAGCCATTCCAGGCAAGCTTCAAAATACTGTTTCTCTTCTTTCATTCCAGATAAAGTGATGAGAAGTAAGCAAAAAGAAAGCTTTGGAAAACAGAGTGTCTTTAGAGTGCTAAAAAATTGCCTTCTTAATTGAATTTCCAGCATCATCCTAAAGTGCTGAGTTAGCATGTGCTCTGATGTTATGTGTTCTTTGGGTCAGAAGCAATTCTGCAGGCTGGAACTGGGTGATTTTGGGATGATTTTGTGTCCTTCACCCAGAGACACCAAGCACAGTGTACACCTGTGTATTCACAGTCTCATGATGATGAAGTTTGCAGAGTTTTTGCACTGCTGATACAAAAAACAACAGTATTCTTCCATGAACACAGGTGCTGTATAAGATTAGTGACAGTCACTTTTTTCCTTCCCTAAAAAAATCTAAAATTACAACTTGTTAGTCTCTAGACCTGGTTTCCAGGTGTCTTGGCTGGGAATGTGTTAAGGTGACCAGAGGCTGAGTTTGCTCTCTCTCCATGGAGCACTGGCACATGAGGGAAGGGAGCTGTCAGCAGCAGTGCCTCTGCTCCAGACAGAGTGCAGAGAGCACAGGCAGCAATCACTGCAATTCCTTTAGTAATGACTGCTGTGGCTTTGGCTTTGGTTTTGACTTGTTTGCAAGTCTCAAAAACTGAAGTATAGGAAACTATGCAGCTCTGCCAACAATGAACTATCTACAGCAGGTGATGCACTTGAGAAAGAATTGTTAAAGATAGGGCTGGAAGGAACTTGATGAGATCAAGTAGTCCAACTCTCTGCCCCAAGGCAAGATCAACATACTTCATCTGTTCCTCATAGGTGTTGCCTGACTTCTTCTTAAAAGCTTTCAAAGGTGTAGGTAGGTTCCACAATTCTAGGCAGCTCATACCAATACTGAAACCATCCTTAATGCTGGAGAAAACAAGCAATTTTCTGAGATTCAGGACTAAACATCCTCTTGCTGCAATTTAAACCCTTTCTTACTCTGCCACTGTATACAGATAGATGAGATGATTCCCCTTGTTCTGATTGCAATGCATGATGTATTTATGATCTATTGCAGTATTTTTCTGTTATCTTCTCAATGTTAAATCTATTCTTTCAGTTCTTTGTTTATTAGTCTTGATGGACTTCTGATCCTCTTCATTGCTCTCTTCTCAGGCTTCTTTAGGTAGTCCACATCTAACTTGCAATGTGATTTTGAAAACTGGGTACAGTACTGTAGTTATGAGTTGTTGCCAATGAACATCTGATTTCCCTCAAATTCCTCCTCATCTCTTTGTTTTCAGAGTTTAGAATATCTCAATCATTAGTAAATTCTTTTTCTTATAGTAGTCATATGGGTGTGTTCAATAAAACAAGAGACTGAAACCTTCTTTTCTAAATAGTCATATCTCAAGAACAGTAAAATAGAGGGATTATTCCTTAGCTTTTCAAAATCAAATAAATCATGTTAAACTTGAGGCAGCAAAATGTCTTCATCTCCCTCTTCAGCTTAAGGAGATGGATAGGAGCTCTTATGTTTAGCTTTTTATGCACAGGAGAGTATTTTGCCAAGTCTGATCACCAATGTACCTGCTTTCATGAGAGAAAAATCCATTTAGGAAAAAATACTTCACAAAATGCACCCTCATCTTGAGTCAGTTATAGCTTTCCATTCAAAAATGTTAAATACCAAGATTTTGTATGACCCAAAAGAATTATTTCTAAAGCTCATTTAAATTTGTTTCTCATTAGTGGACTTCATACTTGAGATGTTCTGTGACTTCTTCTTACCATGACAAATATGAAAAAAAGAAGAAAAAGAGGGGAGATCCAGAGTGTTCAACTTTATTATTTAGATAAAATAAAGATTTTTTTTTCTGTAGCTGAAAGGGGAAAGAAATTTTTTCATTTAGCTTTTATGCTTAAGATGTATAGAAAAAAAAAATCAGAGGTACTACTTCTGTAAATTCTGAATGTTGTCTACTGCCAGTGAAATATTAATCATAGCATAATTTTTATTTTCTAAATAAATTCCACTTTTATGAAGTCCTGTTTTAAGTTTAAATCCTCATATACTTTTCAGTGCCTCATCCATGAAGAAATAGGTCTCATATGCACATATTTCAATGCTTGAGGTGGTAGCAAGTAACTGATACGTGCTGTGAGCAGTAAATCTGCTCTCAGAAGTATTTGGAAATGCTTGAAAGTGTCACTAATAGGCAGGTGGCAGGTTTTGTACAAAGACCTTGCTTGACTTGAATTTCAGAGTAGTTTGAACTTGTGACATAGTTTTTTATCTCTCATGGTTGAAGTTTTTTCTGCTTTGGAAAGGGCAGCTGATATGCACGGCTGAAGAAAGCTGCTGCCTGACACTGAAACTGAGACATTCAGAACCCAACAGTCATCTCCTGTGAAATTACAACACTGAAACATTTAAAGCCTTAAAAAGATTGTTACCTCTTCTGAAGATAGTTTAAAAAAATTGTGTTGTTCACTTTTATATTGAATGAGTAATGACTCTGTAAAGAAATTGTAAATTGGTAAAGAAAGATTATCTGTCTTCAGTTCCAATGAATATGTGAATAACTTTCTCTAGGATTTTAGCTAGAGAGATGTCAGCCATGCCAGTAGGTAACTTGGTGCTATAGTCAGATTTGCTGACAAAATACTATTTTAGTGTTTATAAATTTAGTGGGGTTTGTGGTTTGCATGTCCTGGACCTTGCCATTCATCACTGAGTGCAGCACACAAACTTGTTTGGAAGAAAGTAGCATTGTTTGCTGTGCAACTGCTGGCCTCCCCAGTAAGATTATTCCCTTTAGTTTCAGATGACAGTGAGCTGCACACCAGTGGTACCCTGAAAGCATCAGAAAAATCAACCATGGAGCAGTTAGTGGAAAGAGCCTGCTTCAGAGACTATCAGCGTTTGGGGCTGGGCACCATCAGCACCAATTCCTCTCGCTCCAAAACAGAATACTTGAGAATAACTGCACTGAACAGGATGTATTCCCTTTGCAGGAGGTGAGTTTGTCAATTCTCTGAAGTAGCTGAAACTAGAGACACTTGTATGTATAGCTGCATTAATGTATTTGCATTTAGCATCTCTTCTGTTCCAAAATAAAAAAGCAAGCTTCAGAAGCAATTATAAATAACTATTTTCTTCAAATTAAAAAATGTGTGTTAGAGTTCACTTCATGAAAGTATTTACTTTCAAAGTTTGTCATGTGCTGAAAGTCACATGCTGTGTTTTAGCACATCAGTGTTACTAAGTCCTTTCTTTTTGTTGTGAAAGCTGATGTAGTTTGCTGACACTGCCCACAAAAATTACTTTTAATACAAAAGCCTATCTGCATGAGTCATATCAGAAGACATTTGCATTCTCTAGAGCCAGTTTAGGCTGGTCATTGCTTTCATTATGGACAATGGAATTGCCAGGAAGAGGGCACAGAAGAAAAATACTAGATCCTTTCTTGTTTTCTGACTTGTCTAGAGTACTGGTTTTGTTTAGTCACCATGGAGTACAGTGCAGATGAAGGCATGAAATCTGTCCATTTTCATTATGCTTTGAACATTATGTGGACAACCCTTTCCTCCCCTAAAACCATGAGTTTTTAATACTCTCTAGGCTTTTTTTTAACTATAATTAGTATCTGAAAGAATTACAAATGTCAGTATATAAATGCTTACCTACTGCTATATTACTGTGGTTGCTGTGTAGACTGTAAATAGCATGTACATTTATTTTGTCTGAGGGCAGTTGAATAAATGTCCAAGAATTGAATTTGCAGAAATAGTGTATATTGTAGAGGGAATAAAAGTTATCTACTAAGCAGTTATCTAGTAACAGCTGTTTCTTGTTCCTCATCTTAGTTTCTTCTTAACGCATGAAATTGGCACTTAAGTTGATTTTTTATTTTTTGGAGGCAATAGAAAATTATATTTCATATTGTTTGAATCCTTCTTTCACTAACATGAACAAAACTACCATCTTGCTTTTTTTGCTATCTTTAAAGTATTATATCAGTGAATGTTCTAATCTCTTAGTGCATTGCAGTGTTTTAACAGAACACAAAAATGCAGTGTCAAGCACTCTGTTCCAAGGACTCCAACTGTAAAATTTAAATATATTTTTCCATAAACGAAAGACTATTGTTTTCATTGTGATACTTCAGGCAATCGAACATTCTTTCCTTTCAATTCTCATATTTCATATACAATTCTCAAAATGGAACTACTGCATCATCTGTGTACCTCAAAATTGTGTTTTCTGTCATGCTTAAAAATATGGCTTTATTATAGTGATAGATAAGAGATGTGCTAAAAAGAAAAATACTACCAAATAAAATAGAACCTTAAATGGAAAGTGATTAGTAATGAGAGTCTTACAAATTTTTCATAATTTAATTTCTATTTAAAATGCAGTTTGCTTAATGTATTTGCTAGGCTTGGACTAAAAATTACTTTAAAAATAAAAGTCATTCTAACAGTTAAAGTGTATTTCGTTAAGGCTTAAAGTGCTATTCATTAAGTTCATTAAGACAGTTCAAGTGTATTTCATTAAGACGTGTTTTCAGCTTGTAATTTTAGAAATGTTATTTTTATTGCTGAGCATTTTGAAAGCAATTTTAATTGTTTAATTTTTTTTTTTATTTTTTTTCCCTTTGCTGTCCATGCAGCTATCCTGGGCTGCTGGTGGTCCCTCAGTCTGTGCAGGACAGCAGCCTGCAGAGGGTGGCTCGCTGCTACCGCCACAACCGCCTGCCCGTGGTGTGCTGGAAGAACACCAAAAACAGCACTCTGCTCCTCAGGTCTGGGGGCTTCCATGGGAAAAGTGTGGTGGGCCTCTTCAAATCCCAGAACACACATCCCACGGGTGAGTTGGTGCAGCCAGGCTCTCTGTAGAAGGAGTTTCACGTGGAAATGCTGATTTTGCCAGAGGAAAATCAGTGATTTGGTTGAACCAGAAGTCGCAGGGTGTAAGCGGTTATCTGATGTTATTAGTGACCATGTGTCAAAATCCTGAATGGTATGAAAGCAGTTCAAAAAATGTGAATGAATAATTTAGAGATTGGACCAACACAAGATTTATCAGAATAGTTTGTTTTAGTTTTTCAGAAGAGTATAATATTAGGGTAACATTAAATTTGGAAATAACATTCATCGACTTCCATCATTCACAGGCAGTATTTAGGATACTTCTGACTGCCTGGATTTCCATCTCATGCTAATGGCTTTTTCAGAGTTAATTTCATGCCAAGAATGAGTCAGTATTTTCTTTAATCAAACTGATAGTTGTTTAGAAATTATTCCAGAATTAGGCCATAATTTTTCTTTTTGGAGGAAAAGGAAATGTGAGGTCGAATTGGAGTACCAAAAACTCATTAAAGTATCAGAGAGGTTCTTATGTCCTGTTTATGTTTGCATTTTTCCCCAGTAATGGCTAAAAGGTGAGTAAAAGTTTTCACTCTATGCAAGTGTGTTTTGTAGAATTTTTCAAAACCTATAAGAAGCATACTGTACACTTATTACAAGTGCCATAAAGGTAATTTGCAGATTATGATTTAAGTATTTTTTACATAGTCCTCCATAATTTTTCCTTCACAGAATACCTTTATGAAAACCATGTTTTTCTTACTTTTAAGAGCAATTTTATCAGACATATTGAGGTTTTGTGTGTGTCAAATGCACCTTTAAAATCTCATTATTTCAAAGATATTAGAAAAATGTTACTAATGTTAGACAGTATCTGGACTGACTGTTAAGGCTAATTTGTAAATCACTGATTATCTGCTGAATATTCATTGCTATAACACTTGATTGAATGTATCTCTTCAGTGTTTTGTGGGAACATTTTTTAGTTGGAGTGATGAGCAATGAGGGCAATGAACTGAAATTTATATAATGTGTTTTTGTTGAAAGGATTAATAGAATGAATCAGTGAAGTACCAGCAGTAGTTGACACAGCAGCTGCCAAAGCTAATGGCTACCCCAGTTCTCCCACATCCTTATGGTGTGAATCCCAGGCATGGCAATTCACATGTTAGTCTTCAGCTGATTTAATATTGGTTGTCCTGCTGAAATACAGATGAGGCATCTTTAACCTGGTACAACTAGAATAAATAGAAAAAATACTTTTTTTGAGACTATTGCAGGAATTGTCTCAAAATTATGTAAAGACAAACACTTGGATGTTTTCTGAAGTAGTTTTCTGATGGCTTCTTTCCTTAACTTTATATAAAGTTTATATAATTCTAACCTAATTTTATATAAGTCTATATTTTATATAGACTTTTATATTGCCATTGCCATATTCTCCACCAGAATATTATGGAGTAGATAAATGGATTGACAATATCTGTGTCTGACAGATACTTGCTTTTGGAGTTACTGCTCCTTTTAAAGTGTGAAGAAGATGGAGACTTCCCTCAGGAAGGCACAGCAAGGAATTTGGAGAATATTTCTAGGGTGTTTATCTTACTTTTAATGGAGTTGAAGCCTGTTGAAACAAAAGTGATCAGCAAAGGTAGTTGTACACAGCTGTCTCAGCAGGAGTTGTGTGCAGTGAAGGGAAGTCTGTAATGGAAAAAGTGTTGTGAAGCAAACTGAGAGGACAAAGAGAATCTGAAGTTAAATTCAAGTTGACAAATTCATTCTTTCCTAAATAGGAGTAGGTTTTTATTGGTCAGTTTTGGGTTGATACAGAGAAACAAGGGGGGCCTGCTGGAACTTGGTGAACATTTTTGTGATTTCCTGTTACGTGGTGTGTTACGCAAGTTTTCAAAGCATAGTTGGAGGTCAGTGTGTTATATAAGAAGCACAGAACATATTTTTTGAGAAATTATGCACAGTACTTAATTTCTGTGTGGAACCAAACTTCATGTGCCACAGAATTGTATTTTCTAACATCTATCAAAAAAAAAAAGATTATTAACAGATGTTCAGATATGAAATGGAGAGTATATATCTTTTGAAATGTTCCTGCAAGTTGGTTTCTGAATTTGACCTCTCTGGGAATTCTGTTCCAGAGCACTTTAGTTCTAAATATGACATTCTACACCTAAATTAGCATTTTTTGGTCAGCTACCCTATGGAAAGAACATTTATGTATCTAGGATGTAGTAACACTATCCAAGAGCAGTTATCTTGCTTCAGGCTGAATTATTGATTGTAACAGGACTTGTAAGATAAAGATGGAGCAACCTGTGACCAGGCATATAAAGTACATATTAGCAATGCAGGACTAAGCAGTGCATTTCTTTCCTGAGACAAAAACAAAATTAAATGGGATAAAATTGCTACCAGGATCTCCATCCCCCATCTTTTGTTAAATCCATGTTTCTGTGGTGACCTTCCCATGGGATACAGCACGTGAAAGGTGGTGATTTCATGGAAATCCCAGTTCATTGCTGGTAGGGGCAATGCTTTGAGTCACCTCTGTATGCTGCTGTGATGGGATGAGTTGTGCTGAGGATGAAGGGACAGATTTTCCATCTCTAAACATCACAAGGACATTTTTGCCCTCAGTCTTTAATTCTGGTATCTGCTTGGTCCAGTGACAGACTTTGATGTAAGTTGAGCTGTTTTCTAAAATAGACACAATACTCTTCACAAAATAAACCTTTGTAAGTGCAAGTGGTATAGACATTATCCTTTCATTTAGACAGCTCATTTCTTTTAATTTAACTAAATTGTTAAGACCTAAATTGACTTTTTGTAGTATTATTTCAAGGGCTAGGGGACCCAGAGATCATTTCAGTAGATTTCAGGATGTGTGTAAATCCTGCTTAGGAGTAGAAGAGAAAATAATGTTCCTGCTCAGGCTTTTTCCACTTGCTCAGAAAGAAACAGCATGATGTATCCTGCAGGAAACATCATCACTTCCTAATTGGACTTTCAATTTAGATACTAATTTCTATCTTGAAATTTCTTTTGCCACCTCCAGCTAATTAGCTGACTGTCTATTAGTCTCCAGCATAGAATCTGATTGGATCATCATTGGAGAAAACTATTTACAAATTACCATTGTGTTTTGTCAAAATGTGCTCAGTCGAGTTCTTTGACTCCGTCTCTTATTCCAAATGTTGGCTCTTGTGAGCAAGATACCAAGTCCTGGTTTAAGCAGCTATGAAACTTTTGCCCTACAGTAAGTCCAAAGATGGCTGCAATAAACTGGAATTCCAAAAATTTTGTTTGGTATTTGAAAAAAAAACCCAAACTGACTCATTGATACTGAACACTATTTTGTCATCATGCTATGGCCCAGGACCTGAGCTTCACCTCCTTTCCTTAGGTCCTTGCACCTGGACAAGTGGGTGGAGTTTATGGTTGGGATCCCATAATGGTTGGCATTATTTGTTTTTCTCTTTTTTGAGGGTTTTTGGGATACCACAATGGTTGGCATTATTTGTTTTTCTTATTTTTGAGGGTTCTGTGTTTGTTAATGGTTTCTTAACTTTTGTCATGGGCACTGTATCCCAAGGAATCTCCAAGTGCAGGTACGTAACCCTTTTCTAGAATGAGGAAGAACTGATTGAGTATGGTTTCGACTTACTTTTGTTAAAGAAATAATTCTATCTGTTCTCTGCACGTTTTGCTGACAAGCAGCACAACCTTAGAAATGTTACTTTTTGTTTGGAGACTGAAGGAAAAGCTGCATGATCTTTGCTCAGTTTGTGCTGATGTTATGGCTAGTGATGAATGTTTTAAGTAGTGACCATGAGGTGAAAGTTTCAGAAGTTCAGCTTTGTGTGGAATGCAAGAGAACACTGCTGGATCCTGCTGTGCAGCCAAGTGATAAACAGCTTGTCATCAGAGGAGAGGCTTTTTGAACCTTTGATAGACAAACCAGGACATTTTCAATGCTCTGCTTTACACAGTAAGCCTTTTATTCTGTGTACTTACAAATTGTATTTTTCTTTTTTAATGCATTCTATTCTTCTTGTGACTCTAGCCCCCACTTCTCTAGAATCTTCAAGCAGTATAGAACAGGAGAAATACCTGCAAGCCTTGCTGAATGTGATATCCGTCCACTGCAAAAGGAATGGCAGTAACACCCTCACTGTCAGCCCAACCATTGCTCTGTCTCCAGGTAAAACTCCTCTGTACAGGGCTTTTCTCTGGCTCAGCTGAGACTTTTCTCTGATTTAGTGATAGCTCAGTGTTCCATAGGAATTCTGTTGTTTCTTTATTGTTAGGCTTTCCAGGTAGCCTGTTCACTTTTAGTTTCAGTGACTATGTTTCTCTGTGTAAAGGATATTTGTAATCTTTCCTGAAATACTTTTCAATATTAATCTGGCAGTAAATTCTTTTATAACTAATGAAGCATAAACTGCATATTGAATAAAAGACTACCAGATTTTAAAGGATGCAAAATCTGCTCTATTTTATATAATGAGGCAAAATCTGCTCTATTTTGTATAGTGAGGAAGTATGAGGTTGCAAGATCAGAACAGATAACATTGTTTAGCTGCAGCAGCAATGGAAGGCATAGAGGCCTCTTTATGCTTTACATACTCAAAATGGGTTTCTACTTAATGTAATTCCCAAATAGAGCTTTTTTTTGCAGTGAAAATAAGTTCAAAAGACACTATTTGATTTATGCCTAGATGGAGCCATGAAGAAGATAACCCATGTTTTATTTCAGTTATTTTATGATGAAACCTAGTGAGGTTTAGGTGAGGGTAACCCCAATGTGTCAGAAAGGACTGTGTGACTTGAAATTGTGTCTGTTTTGTCTTACTCAGTTGTAATTGCCCTAATACTGCCAAACAGTGGCTTTTCTTGTAAAGTAACACCATCCCAAAGTGTGTGTGCTTTGCTTCATTTATTGTAAAATATGTTGATTGCTTAGCTGTATCTAACACCTCCATACTGTTGCCAATGTACGCATTTGTGTTAAAAACTAAATCCAAAGTACAAAATTGGCAAGAATCCGCTGTATTGGGTGAAAAAGGGCATTTAATCAGTCATATTGAGTATTAGTCTGGTTAACACTGTAGCTTTTTTTAATCTTCTATTCTTTTTTTGGCTGACTTTAGGCACTGAAACGAGGGCTTCAAGAATGTCCACTGTGTTTAAGCAGGTAGTGCCAGGACATTTGGATGTAAATCTATCCAATAGCTTTGCTCGAGGAGGTTAGTAAGACTAGCTCAAAGTCTATTCTTTGAAGTAATAAATGATGAAAACTGTTAGTGAAATAAAAATAATTATACTCTTTATTGGTTTGTTGCTCTGTGAAACAACAAAACAGAAATTAGATTGGCCTCAGTCCACAATATTATCTAATTTCTGTTCAAATCCTTTACTTTCCATTGAAATAAAGTTGGTTTCATTTGGAATTAGTGAAAAATAAAGCAGTCAGATAGGGATTATGTTTCTAAATAATTTGGGATTCATTCATGTTTTTAATTTGTCTATGTATGGCCTGAAAATGCATATTTTTATATAAGAATTCTATAGACTTTAGAATCTGCAATTACAAATCACTCCAATATGTGTCTGAAGCTTTGCTGATGCTTTATAACATTCCAAATAATCTGTGAATAATTTTACTCCAAGTAGTAAGGACTTATGTGGCCAGGTGTAGTAGGTAAGGTGATACAGTGCATTTTTTGGAAATACTTATTCCTAGATACAGGGGCTCACCAGTGCCATTTCTACAAGAACATTTCTTTCTATTATGGGGATTCCATCTACTTCTACACCTTTAGTCTGATGAAGTTGGGATTTTTTTTTTATGTGCAACATGTACATAAATTAGTGCACCAAATTTCTTAAATGTAGGTTTGTTAAAATAGGGATGAATCTATTCCATAAAAGAGAGCATTTTATATTTGATTTATTACCTTTCAGCCATGAAGGCTCCTTCAACAGTTATTTCTAAGAATCTAAATGCTGGGTTTTTTTTCTCTTTTGATACTTTTAGCATCTGAAATTAGTTAGCTTTACATTGATCTGCTGAGGTTCATTGCAACCTAAATTTTCTTGTGGGATGCAAGACCTACAGCTCATATGGGGAAGGATGAAAATATTTTGTAGAGAAAAAAAATCTAGAAGAGGAGGGATGGGATTATGGAAACGAAGGAAGGAAGAACAGAGAGGGAGGGAGAACGGAAAATGCTCAGGGATGTGTAGGGAAGTGATGTGAGAATTGTAGCAGAAGGGAAGAGAGGAGGGGCAGGAGAGGACATGGGGATCACCAAAGACAGGGGAATTTTCATGAATCACAGGAATTCTGTGCCTTTTCATTAATCATAGTCAATGCATATTTCCTATGTGAGAGTTTTGTTTATGTTCTGTGCTCTCTGTGTCGTTCCTGTGCTGTAGCTGAGGTGAATAAAGCAGGTGATGTGGCTGAGGAAGCTGGGGCTGAGCAGGGCAGGAGGCAGTGGGGGCTGCAGCCCTGGGGTGAATGAATGGGGCTGAGCCCAGCCTGGCTGAGCCCTGCAGCCCTGGCAGTGCTGCCAGCTGAGCTTTGCTTCTGCTCCATCCCCTTGTGCAGCACAGGGGTGCTGAGGGCCAGGGAAGGGGCTGCAGATAAGTCAGGGAAAGCTCTCCTGGTGCTGGCTGGAAATTGTCCTTTGAAGATAAAGGGGTTACTGAAATAACTGCTGCTGGTTTCTAGGATTAGAGTTCGTGCTAAGTGTGATGGGATGAGTTTGTTGCTGCTCAAAGAAGAAAAAAGGAGCCTGAAGGCAGAATGAGGTTACAGCCATGGTGTTTTATTGGACAGTGGAGTCCCTTGGCTGAATTTCAGCAGTAATCAGGAGGAGGGCAGGGAAGTTATCTTGTGTCTTGCTGGATCTCTGCCACACCTGCCCTGTGTGTCTGAAAGGTGTCTGCTCACAGTTCAGCAGGACACAGGAGGACTCTGCTGAAACATGAGAATGTTTGACAAGTACAGTGGGAGCCCTGGGGAAGGTGAGAAGTTGACAGGGGAAGAGGGAACAGAGAAAGGGAATATCTCCCTGGAGAGAAGTAAACACTAGGGGGTTTTAGATTAGCTGACACAATTCTTTTAAAAGAAATTTAAAAATACACAGAGTATATAAAATCACTAAAATTGTTCTCAAATCCATTATCACAACGTTCCTCATACTTGTTCTCAGCTGGATATATTTCACATGTGAAGCAGCAAGCAGCTATGGATTATACACCGTGCAAAATACAATAGCAGTGGTTTTGTGGTTTGGATTCTGGACCACTCCTTTCTTTCCTTGTGTTTATTATCACACATCCCAAGGCTCAAAAGCCAGGTTCAGCTATGATACACCAGTAGAAAATTACATTTTCTATTTTTTTGTGCCAGACAATGTATTTGTAATGCATATAATTTTGAAACATAAGTTAGAATATATGTTCCAGAGCGTGAACAGTATTTCTAATTTTTTTAAACCGTCATTGTTCTGAACACTCATCAGTTGTTCTGAATATTTGTGTCTGTGTCAAGTAGGATTTTTTTACTTTATCTGGAACATTGTCACAAAGCATCTGCCCAAAGCTCAGTCAAGTTGGTTTTGATCTGGAATATTTGGTCAAATACTTATTTTTCATAATATATTTTCATTCTTTGAACTTTTCTTGGTTGATACTTTCATGAGAGCTGTAAGTTCACTCAAAACTTAGAGCTTTTCCTCTTCCTTCCTTTGTAAGCATAAATTGGTTCTTCAGAGCAGCACTTCTTACCTGGCATTGCTGTGTCATTTAGCAGAATAAAAAGTTTCCTCAGTATATTTTACCACTATTGGAGAAATAGTAGGATATTTATAATTAAAAACTTTTTAGAGAATTATTTCCAAATTTTAGAGAATTATTTCCAAAGCAGGAAACATTAACATTTTAAGTATGGTTTAATAGAATATTTGTATTAAAAAGACTCAATTATGTTGATGTGGGTTTTGGGCCAAAGATAAATGCACTGATAAACACATAAGGCTCCCACAGAAAATGGTGATTTTTGCAAGAGGAGAGAAGATCTCTTTCTGTGGTAGTTATTACATGTTTTCTAAATTCTATACTTGTACACAAGCTTTTAAAAATGTTTGCAGGTGTACAGAACTAATATCTTGCATTCTGCTTTAATTTTGAGGTCCATCAAATTCTACACTTAATGTCCCTGGACTAAACCAGCTCTTTATAAAAGGCATTAATGTTGGGATTTTGAATTAAACTAACTTTCAGCTGGATAGAAACTTTCAATAAATTATTCAACAGAATGATTTAATCATTACATTTCCTTTGGTATTATAATTATGGAAAAACACATGGTGGCTTTGCAACATGTCTGAAGCTATTGCAATGACAATGGAAATTATTCCTGTTTGATAAATGGATACCTCCTTCCCATTTTATATTGGTTTTGTGGCTTGATTGATGTTTTGTCTTGTGATGCCTGAGATTTGTGCTGTCTGATAAATCATGTACTATAAAGAAATGCAATATATCCTAGATCTTTGGAAATTAATAAGTAACCCTTTTCTTCTCTCCTGCAATGTGTTTCGCTGCAATGTGCATTCCATTCCTCCTCCTTCTGTCTTTACTGTTATCTGCCAGTGCTTGGGCACAGAGATAAATGTTTCACTCATTCCAATTCCAAATCAGCAACTAAGGAAAGAGTCCACCAAGGTACTGTATTCTGTGTCCTGAAAGCCCATTCTTTTCTCCCATCTGCTGCTACTATGTCTTAATTCATTCTAAAGTGATACTGACAGAAAGCTTTGTTTCTGCACTAACAAAATTTTGAGGGTTTTAGCTCAGTGTTGTGGAATTGTTACGTTTTGGAGGTTTTTTGCCCACTGAATGTATGCACAGTGACTGTGATGTAACACAGAGTCATATACAGAAAAATTTCTGTGTGAAAATCTTAAACAGCTAAAAATCAGTTCTGGAAAAGAGTTTAGTATTCCTACTGATTTAGGAAAATAGCTAAGAAACACTTATCTAGTCAATGAATTTCTTTCCATAGTTATTATTAATTTAATGAACAGGGGAAAATGGATTACTGTCAAATCAGAAAGTCTTAATAATACAGTAATACATAAGCTACTGCTAACAAAAATAAAGTACTAGGCAAAAGTACAGTAGAAACATAATTGTGCCTTTTAATCACTGCTGTCCATGCTGGCAAGCATTTTCATCTGCATGTTTTTGTAGCCAGTTTTGTTGCTTTTGGTGTGCCACAAGTGCTGATGATGAGTGCATTTGTGAAATGCTCCAAAGTGTCACTGTGTATTTTTGTACTCTTCATCTTTGGGGCCAGCAGTTTGTGTTGGAAATTTTTCATGCCAAATGAATAAGAACTTCTTTCTCTTATTAAGTATTTGCTGTGATTTCTGCTTGCTAAAGTCTCTATTATTTCACATGTAGTAGCTGAGACATGGAATAAAAGTTTGTACTAAACACCCTCCTTTACTGCTTGAGGTGTTTATAAAAGTGGCTGGCTGTGAAGTGGGAGCTTTTGAGAGGTGTTAGTGCCCAGAACTCCTTGCCAGCCACTCTCAGTTGCTGCAGTTCATCTCCTCACATCTCAGACTAGCAGCCAGACAGGCAGACAAGCTAAGCTGTACAGACCAGTCCCTGTTAAGAGTTACTGTACAGAATTATTTTTTAATAGAAACACAATATTGCTTCTAAAAAATAGAATAAAATTATTTTGCTGGTTGAGCTATCTCAATGGAATTTACTGTTATCTACATCTTTTTTCTTGTGTGCAAGAAATGTTAACTATGCACATTGTTGGATTTTCCTGAAGAGGGGTGGGTGTTGGTCCTACAGTATCTAAATTTCTAGTACTATGAGGTATTTCTGGTGCCTCTTTTGGATATCTTGCTTCACAGATTTATGGACAAGAGTCTCTTCTGATAATCTGATTTACTGCATATTAGGATAAAGAATTTCACACTGCCATTTAGATGCCAAATTTAGTGTACTTTAAGGGATTTGATTTTCAAGTAGTGCTATTCATACTCTGAGAATCCAATACCTTTCCCATGCCTCACATTGCACACACAAAAACAATCTCACAAAATCCTGGTTATTAATTGAGGTACAAGAAACAGAAAAATATTTACTGCTTGTCTTTTCTTCTAGCACTAAACAGGCCTTGGCAATCTGATTTTAAAAATCAGATTAAAAATCCTTACTTTCTTATATTAAAGTCCCCAAAGCTTGCTCAAGCATGATGAGATGAGAGCATGGCTGTGTGCTGTAGAATTTCCCCTCCTGGCAGTGCCAGTGGAGCTGCAGCAGCCAGGTGTACACTGTGCAGAGTCAGAGTGCTGCTGGGGTGTTGGGGTGATGCTGTTCTGTAGTAAAATGCAATGATTGGCATCTGACTCCATTGATCCAGAATGCTGAACAATTGCTTTGGTAAAATAGATTATATTACATTATACTATATTAAAGAGATACATACTATACTATACTATACTATACATTACTATACTATACTATACTATACTGTTCTATACTATACTGTTCTATACTATACTATACTATACTATACTAAATTACACACTAAAGAAAAACCCATGACTGTCTCGAGACAGCCAGGACACAGCTTTGACCCAATAGGCCAATGAATATGAACAACCATCACCAGAACCCAATTAAGAACTCCCTTCAGGTAAACAATCTTCCTAACACATTCTGCATGAGCAAAAACAACAGGAGCAGCAAGTAGAGATAAGAATTGTTTTCTCTTCCTCTCTCTGTGCTTTTCCAGGAAAGAACCCTGAGAGAGAGAATTATGTCTCTCTGTTCAGAGAATGTGAATGCCACACCATTCAAGGATTGCTGCTTCCACATCCCACTGCACTTCACGTTGTTGCCAGCTTTGGGATTTCTGCACTTTCCTGATTTCTGTCCCTCTAGAAATTTCATTTCCCTGAACTTACATGGACATTGCTATTTGCAAATTGTGGTTTTTCACTGTGTCACTGATATCATAGCAACCCTTTTCTCTACAGTAGAAAGCAGAGTTAGATGAGAGTCTGAGGTTAAACTATGCAGTAGGATGGTTTTGACAATTTCTGTTACAAATCTATTTCTTTCCAGTACATGCTCTTAATTATGTCCTTAAATGTGCATGTGACACATTTAAGCATCTATGGAAGTAAATATGATCTCCAGTGCCTCACACAAAATGTTTTTTTAAATATTCTTCATCCTTATGAAGGTGTATGGGCGAGTCTTCGTTCAAGCAACCGATTTATCAACACTCAGACTCCATTCATTGATGTTGGTGCAAGGCTTGCAGGGAAGGATAATCCCCCTCCCTACAGCAGCAGCTCCTTTCTGCAAAGTCAGCTGCTGAGAAGACAAGCAGCCCTCTACATATTTGGAGAAAAATCTCAGTTACGGGTAATGACAATTCAATTTTTTTTCACGTTTAATGTAGTTTTTATTTGGTTGAGTTTAATTATTCTCATGTTGTTACAAACAGTAACTGGTATTCAAAATAACATAGAAATCTGTTATGAAGGAAACAAAATGTTGTTAGCTGGGGAAGCAATTAAAAGAGAAGGAAACCTTCATTACTGTGGGCAGCACTAAACTCACACAAAGCCAAATTGATGAGAATAAAGTCAACCCAGAACTCCTGATTTGATTGCATGGAGAGGACCATGATGTCTACAGTTTTGTACATATTATTTGATAGATTTTAATGGTTTAGATGAAAATCTATCAAATAGATTTTAATCTAAACCAATTCGAAATTGTTCGAAAAACAGGTATCCTCTAATTCTTAGTAGTTTGACTTGTTTTCTGAAAATGTATTGAGATTTTTTTTAATCTCTGCATTCAAAGATTTAAAAACCTGGTTTCTTCTACTTTCTTACTCAAGATATGAACATACCTATAATATTAAAGTATTTTTTGAAATACAAAAAGTCCAAACCCCATTATTGGCAGTAGGAAAACACATCACTATTCATCTTTTTCCGAAATTATTTTCTATCAAGAGGTGGAGGAGACATGCTGTACCAGAATAATGCATCAATTACATAGAATTAAATTACTGTATTCCACTAATAATGACTGTTTCTATTTGTTTGATTTATTAATGAATGATAACTGAGGGGTTCAGTCATGCATCTACAGCTGTGTAGCAGAAACTACTGCTTTATTCTGCTAAATATCACATGAAAGAAACTGATGAGGCAAACAGAAATACACAACATTTTAAAGAAATGGTGCTACATTCCTCAGTTGCTTTTGTCATGCATTATTACCACTTGCCATTGTTGAGTTATTGAATTTATTTTTGAACCATGCAAAGTATAAACAGAATTAAAACCAGGCTTTCACTTTCCTGCATTTTCGATTGGCATTCTATGAAGGAGCTTAATGAAGATTATTTGCAGGCCAAGTTTAATTCAATGAAAGCAATTTTTGAAGAAAACTCCAAAAGTTTGGCATGCACATCTTCAGTGATGCTTCATACATGAGAATTGTTTTTCCTAGTAATGTTCTCCATATTATCCTTTTCATCATAATCCATTGGGGTTTGGTGGGGGTTTTTTTCAGTCAACTAACTTGGTCTCTTAATTCAGTCCTCCTCTCTTATTGCTGAATGCAGTAAGTTAAATAAAACATGAGGAATTCTGCTAGGAAAATCATCCAGCTGCTGCTCTGTGCTGAACAAGGTACTTCAGCCAAACAACTCCCTCAATGCCCAGTGATGGTTTAGATGACTCAGCTGCTTTGCACTTATGGGGCTGCTTTTTGGGTGTGGGGGTTACTTTTTTCTGCTTTATTGAACTCCCAAAATGTGCCCTGCATTCTTCATATGTCATCCACACAGATATTTTCATTTTTATTTGTTTATTGTTGATTAGCTTTAAAAATGTTAAAGGAAGTACACTGTGTTGTATATACGGAACTGAACAGAACTGGACTTTGGTTTTTCACCACTATTACTGCTAGAATAATTCTAATTATTATTGAAAATATGGCTGCTGTGCAGTACATTCTGCTGTTATGGTTATAGTTGGGTGCTTTATTGTGGTACATTTTGCAAGGATTTTTATTCTATTTTTTATTATCCTGGGCAGGTGTTTAACTACACCGATTTTTCATGAGGAATTAATTACTTAGCAATAGAGCAGGCAAGGCTCTAGGATTTAAGGAGACTGTCAGTGAAAAATATGCTTCCCTTTTAAATTACATCTGCTGTTGTCCTTTTCATACAGGGGTTCAAACTAGATTTTGCTTTGAATTGTGAATTTGTTCCTGTTGAATTCAGTGACATCCGGCAGACAAAGGCGAGCTTTAAAAAGCTGATGAGAGCTTGTGTTCCCAGCACTATTCCCACTGACTCTGAGGCAACATTCCTCAAAGCTCTTGGGGAGTCAGAGTGGTTCCCACAGGTAATTCATCTGACAGGTACTTCTGATAATCTACATGCAGTGCTGCTCACACAAAATAAATTCCAAGCTGTTGTGACAGAGGACTATTGTGTTCTAACCAGCTGCTCTTTGCTCACTGTAGGCTCTTTGCATGCTCTCTATTCTGGCATTACACAGGCATTACTGTTATTTTAATGCCATCATAATATTTACAAATAGGGGGAGGCATTTTTGTAACAAAATTTATGTTTTATAACATGGAACACACAAGGAGAGGTGACTGGGTTTTCTATCTGTATACATTCATGGTCTTGATTTTAAATTATTTTTCTTATTTTATATTTTTTAAAAATCAGAAAAAGAAAGTGTGGGATAAAAATCAGAAAAAGAAAATGTGGGATAATTAATGAGCTTTTTGATTTTAAAAGTAATATTTGACTCTTCCTATGTGTTCCCACCCTGGATTTTGATATGCACAAGTTAAAAAACAAGCAAATATCTGTTGTGGGATATGGGGAAGAGAGGATTCTATGTATGTTACTCTCTTCTCTCTGAATCTGTACCTTTATTTCCCTATCTCATATTCCTTTACATAAATATTCACCAAACAAAGGCAAGACTGGAGCAAACTTTGCAAGATTCAAATTAAGAAGGATGTGGGAAAGCCAGCTCTTTGTGAATCTAAAAGCACTTTAATTACAGTGAATGGTTTTTAACAGCTGCTTGTTATGTCTGGGAACCCCTGCAGAATATACTTTTCTCAAATGCAATTAATCACAGAAAGCAGAATAGAATTATGCTGATTTCTTAAGGAGGAAATACTTGTGAGGAACTTGTCACTTATCACAGATCAGGAAATGCACTCCTGGTTGAAATGTGCTGCAAGGAGGGGCTCAGCTTCTTCCCTGGGCTGAGAGCAGGAGCTGCTCATGGCTGGGGCTGCCCACCAAGGTTTGCAGGAAGGAGAGAAGTTGGGAGAGCATGAAGAAGACCTGACTTCCTCAGCATCTGAATATTTTCCATTACAGAGTGGTTGAGCAAGTTCATAAGTGTAGATAAATTAATCTACTGTAATTTCATTATTGAATTAATGAAATAAACTTGTTCCCTGCAGCAGCCCAGGGATGGAGGGCAGATAACACTGGGCTTCTCTCTTTTGGCATATTTCAGAGGATCATTCCTTGCTTTGGGTGCATCACTCTGCTGAGGGCTAGGACATCATGTCACACACTGGCTTTGTTATATTTAAACCACATTTCCGTGGTTTAAATCATGTCATATCTGACTTATGTGATAAAGCTAATTTATGACTGATAAAGTTAATTTATGACTGATTTGGCACATTTTCTACTATTCCCATGGAAGAACATAGATCTGTCATCTCAGAAATGTTTTCATTGTGTTAAGCTTTCCTCTTCTGGGCAATAGAAGTTTAAAATTACAGATTTTAACACTGTATGGACTATTTCTTTATAAGAATGTGAATGCATAGAGGAAAATTGAACACTGCCCTGAACACAAATTTAAAAAATAGTGGTTTGCATTGTTAACAATGAGTCTGTAAAACCAGATTGCCTATCAGTTTCCTCGTTAAAGATGGGAAGAAACAGCCTCTCTTCTGTTTTACTGCCTAAGAAAGCATAGAAGAATAAACAAGCTTGGTTTTAAAAGTGGTTCTCTTTTCAGTCTTTTCTTATAAAAATTGCAGGAAAATTAATCTGTTTGGGTTGAGGGTTTTGCCTAAATAATGGCTATGTGAATGCTCAGAGGAGTCAAGGTTTTTCTATCACAATTTCCATAGCAATATTAATCAGATTTTTAAGAGGAAGAAAGCAGACTGCCATGAAAAAGGATAAATTTTCTAAGGTTTAACTGTTGTTTGGTTGCACAACCGAACAACTTGCTCTTGTTTTCTTCAATTTCATTTTCTTCTCACTTTCCCGTGCCTTGTGTACTTCTTGAACTTACTTATTTCCTTTCATACATGATCTTAGATGTTTCTTACCATCTTTTGTTTGTTTTCCTGTACTGTTTTCTTCCTTCTTTCAGACTTTCATCTTTCCCATTGCTTCTGTTGGTTGGATTATATTCAGTGCTGCACAAAGAACAATTTCACTCTGCTGTAAAAAGTGAATTGTTTATGTATTACCTATTATGTTGTTTACCAAGAGTGCTGTCATAGTATGCAAAAATGGTAAAATCATCATATAGATTTTTCTTTTTAGTAATAATGATGTGAAGTCTCATAGTAATATAAAATTACCCAGACTGACCTGAACTTCTTTAACCTGCTTATTTTAGCATCACTGTGTCATGAATATTAAAGTGTCCACTTTCATATATTTTAGCCTGTCTGCCCAACTATCTAAACTGTTTCTCTGTTGTTGTTATTATTGTTCAGTTCAATAATTTCCAACTTCCATAGTACTGGGTATTAGTTATATTGTAAATATCCTGCATGGGTTCTCCCATCAAAGTACTTAGTGACTTTATGGAATCTTAATATTTCACAGGAAATTACTTTAGTGTTAAGCCCAGGATGGAATTTCTCTCCAGTAAATCTGTCAACTGTGTTGTTCCCATTCTCCTTTTTATGACAGCTGGTTTATTACAGTACTCATTGGCTTTAATGCTTTAAGTTCCCATCTTCAAAACTTCCCTTAGTTTTATTGTAGTTCAGATGGAAATCCTTAGACTGTTGCATTTTATTGTTGCCTAATCAGCTGCATCAATGTATTTCTCTGTATGTGGATCCAGGAATGCATTTTTAAATATGAAAATATTCTATTTATTGATATTATCTGAAGATTTATCTAGAGTGTGTTACTCATTCATAATATTTTATAGCTTCACAGGATAATGCAACTGGGTGTGATCATCTCTGAGCTCCTGGAAAATGGTTCTTCTGTTATGGTTTGTTTGGAAGATGGCTGGGATATTACTGCTCAAGTAAGCTGCAATTCAAACCTTGAAATAGTTCAATATTAAGAAAAAACACCAGGCAATACTTTTTTACATAAGTGACACATAATTTGGTATGACATGACTAAATTTGTGTTGTGGCAGCAGAGAAGAAACCAGGATGCATGAACCCTTGCATTCATTTGCAATTTATTTCATGACATGATTCCTTAAAATTAATTCATTCCAAAGGTCCTGATGGTCTTAACAGTTCTAAGGCTTGGATGTAAGATCTGCATTCCTGCACCTGACCATGTGTAAGAATGAATGCCAGAAGTTACCACAACTGTTCGTTTATCATTTTAAACACAGGAGAAATTTATTATCTTCCATTCAATTTCCATAAGTAATGTTAAGAGACCACACAGGGAGAAAACTGAATTTGTGCCAAAGTGCCTGTAACACCTGCTGCAAGGGCAGATCACCTCAAACTGTAAATTAGGTGAATCAAGATCTGCTGCCTGATTTAATCGATGCATTGTGTCCATGCTGCTGCTTCATCATTCAGAAGAGAAACACAGATATCCATAATTCTAGTAAATGAAACCTTCATGTGCACCCAGCATCATAGTACCAGGTAAACAAGCACACAAAAGAGTGTGACCATAATTATTGGAATCATTGCCAAGAAATGAAGAGTAGAGAGGAGAGATACATGCCTGGAAGTGCAAGAAGGCTGTGCTGCATTTTAAAATCTCCTGAGATGCTGTGTATAAAAACAGACTGCAGTTGGCTGGGGCAAAACCTTTAAAGTCAACCTCAGGACCAATGCTTTTATGCTTATTTTGCTGAGGTAGTAGATACTATCTTTTAAATGTTTATTGTAAAAGGGGTTTTATTTCAAACATAATTTCAATGTAGCAAACATTGTAACCACCACCCAAGTGTGTAGGTGCTTAGGTTTTACTTCTACAGATACCATAAAGTCTCAATGCAATTGAAGGTTTTCATGTGGAATATTTGGTTTGTTTCATAAAAATGGGTGTGATAAACTACTTGTCATTGAGTTTATAGGAAAGCCTTTGTCTTCTTGAACAATGAACAGATTACAGAATGCTTGCATTCATTTGCTAAAGGTTTCCCCTGACTTCTGTCAGTGGTAACCCAGAATATGCTGTCCTGTGATGCAGGTGGTGTCCCTGGTGCAGTTGCTCAGTGACCCCTTCTACAGGACCCTGGAAGGATTCCGAATGCTGGTGGAGAAGGAGTGGCTCTCCTTTGGCCATAAATTCAGCCAGCGCAGCAATCTCACCCTCAACTGCCAGGGGAGTGGATTTGCTCCTGTTTTCTTGCAGTTCTTAGACTGTGTGCATCAGGTGAGCCAATCTCTAACTTCCATTTACAAGAAGGTTTCATGAAGAAATGTGTCTATTCCAGTATTTCAGGTGTTACGGGTACAGGTTTGGGAGAAGGTTAGTAACATCATTCCCTAGGTGTTAATAAAGTGGATGGATTTCACCCCAAGAAGAGCTGGAATGGTTGTCCAGAGGGCAGGTAACACTGGAGTTACTCTCTTTTGGCATGCACAGAGGAGACTGACCCAAAGCAGACTCAGAGGGATGGTTGGTGGTACTTCTCTATTAAGGTTATTTATGTAGAGGTTTCAGTTAAAAGGTTTTTAAGCTATGAGTGGCTTTTAGAGCCCTTTATTCCTGGTTTCTAGAACCTGGACTAGACAGTTTTTAGTTCCTTGTGCCTGATGATGAGCATTGAAGAGGCCTTGTACTGCACTAGTTCTGGGAACAATGACAGCTATAAACCAGGGATTCTGAGGTGTTCTGATTTTTATGTCTAGTACATGTTCAGAAGAAGATGGACACCAATAGTTGTGTTGTGTAGGAAGAAATTAGGTTAAAAAGATTATATTCATTTTGGATTAATTCTGAAGTCTGTCCCTTTCTCCATCTCAAACCACTAAATGTAAATTGTTTGCAGAGATTCTGTGTATGCAAACATAAAGGGTTCTTGCATAGTTCCTCTTGTACATGTGTCCTTCTTTTCCCACTTCTCTGATTTTTCTCACTGAAAAAGCTGAAAGTTTCCTTGACATTATTAACCTGTGTTAAAATGTATGGATGACTGTGGATCACAGAAAATTAACTGTTAAGGCACCAGCCTTTTTACTTGGAACACACATTCATAGTGAATACTTGCATGAAAGAGCAGTCTGTGAGTTGGTCCTACTCTGCTACCCAAAGAAAACTCCACAGATTAAATAATTTGCTAAACCAATGGAAAGCAATCTTCAGATATATCTATGTGAGATTGATAATGAATGAGCTTAGAGGAAGAGGAGTGAAAAACATGTTATGGAAAATATCCCCAGCTTTGCTTGTGTCCCAGTGGTAAACACAAATAGCCATCATTATTGCTGTCTCAGGAGTTAATAAACCATATTCTTGGAATTAGCATTGATTGCTACAGCACTGCCCTTATGAAAACCTTAGAAATATTTGTCACATCTTCTGTTTCATCCATTTCCCAGTGGTTGTAGTCATAAGATTGTTTTTTATTTGAAATTGGGAGATTTCTCTAAAGAGAGTCAGTAATGCATTTTTTGTTCAAATAAGTTAAGTTGCCCGAATGTCACACTTTTTCTTACAATAGGCTTAGGGCTATTGCTCCATTTCTGCAGCAGGAAAAAACCCATATTCTTGGTTGCAATGGCTACAGCAGGACAAAATTGCCATGTGCTCTAATTCTGAAACCCATCTGCCTGGTAGTTCACTCAATTCTGTAAATCAATAATTTGTCTTGGTCATGGTGCTGTGTTCTCTCTGCTCTCAGGTGTCTTCTCTAAGCTTAAATTGGCTGATTGGATAACACCATCCATTGGTAGAATGGAGGAAACCTACCTCTGATTTTAAGCAGTAGTGTAAATTTGGAGTTGGAATCCTTCCAGCATCTCCCCTTACCATGTTTTGATGCTGTTCTGGTGCATGTGCACTACATTTTTTGGGAAGAATTTGAAATTGCACCAATGATTTGTCACTTAGCTTAAAACCATTGGGGTCATCAATGTAAAGTGGAGTCATCCACCCAACTGGACTAAATCCAGTCCAGGTAAAGCCACAGCTGTGTGGAATGGCTGCAGGGACCTCAGCAGCAGCTACTTCAGTCTGTCTACTCTGGGCTCCTTCTGATTTCTTGCTAATGTAGACATAGCCTACATCCTGTTTCTGCCCCTGGAAACACTTTGCTTCAGTTTTACTGTAATAAATCTTAGAAAGTTGTCATTACAAGAAAGTTATCCTCACATGCCCATGCAGTATTTCCTTCTCAAGTGATTCAGAGATGACACAGGTTTTGGAAACAAATGGGTTATCCAGAAGAAAGTTAAAAATTAAATGCAAGGATTTGGGTTTATTGCCATGAAATAGAATGGACCATGTTCTCTTCATAGTTTTTCTTTAAGTTATGTTTAACAAAATCTGCAGTTCTAAGGACATGGAATAGTGGATTATAGTCATTCCACCTTTAAAAGTTGGAATGAAATGCAAAGTGGGACAAATCCCTGCTGTTGAGAACTGTCAGGTGCAGTTTTGCCTCAGGCTGCACACATGTGAATGTGTCAGGAAAATTCAGGAACTTCACCTTTGTAATTCACCTTAGGGAGCAGCTTCAGTGCCTGTCACTTGTTGGAATCCAAAATGCAAGGAACTCTCAGAACTTTGAGCCTGGAAGCCAAAGCTTAGAATTAAACACAGGATTTGATCTGAGACCCTGGAAGGGGCTTCCAAATTTAGGTGCTAGAAGCAAGAATGTGGATTTATAGTGTAAAGCAGAGACACATTCAGCTAAGTAAAGGGAAGTTAAGAGTTTTAGAGTTTAAGAGATAGAAAGAATAAAAGTAGTTACAGAGGTAAAGAAGGAGTTTAGAATGCAGTATTGTAGGTTTTTGTGTCATAACATGATTGGCTAAGAAAGCTTACACTGCAGCATGGGTCCATAAGACAGAATATTTAAGGATTGGGTCAAAAACATAAATATCCTTGTTGGCAGTGTTTTATTGGTCAATAACTCCTTAAAAGGTCTTGTAACTAAGGATCCTGTGACCTTCTGAACGATGCTGTAATGATTTGAGCCAAATTCACTCTTCCTGCCTATGTAGAAGATAAAAAAAAATAAACTGCATCATCAAAAATGACTCAGAGGTCTCGTCTCTAATTCCTTCCAAAATTCCCCCCAAGTGAATTAGCACAGTCACTCAGCAGGTATCTGCCTCTGTTTTAGGAAATACACAGGTTATGAGCAGGTTCATTTTCTGGAGAGAAGAGCATTTTGTGTTTGTGGGTTTGAGCTGTGTGCCCTGGGTGCAGCTGGGCCAGCAGGACTGGTACCTCCTGCTGCCCATCAGGAGCTGTTCACTGCTGCTCTCGTGGGGAGCTCAGGGCTTCCTGGCAGCTCCCAGCCAAAATGCTGGGGGAAATTTGGTGGGAAAGACCATTAGAAGCACTTCAGCTTGTCCATCTGAAGGAGACAGTAACTTCTTCTGAGGAAAGATAAGGCTGTGAAGGGGTTATAATTATTTTGCCCAGTGTTATCTTCATCCAAGACAAGGTATGGGAAGCACAATCAGTCTAATATTGATAATATAGACTTGACTGTAAGCTGAATGACCTACAGTCCCATGGAGAAGGAAATTCTGAGTATCTTTTCTAGAACTAGAGTTAGATTATCCTTCTAATGATAACTCTTCTAACTCATAGTATTGAGTTACCAAATTCTAACAGTGTGGCTGTAATTTCTAGGAAAATTGATTTTGAAGTCAAATTATTGGTTGAAATTTCATATGAATTTATCATAAAAAATAAGTTTTCTCAACATCTGTACTTGAAAGTTTTTGTGAATTTTTATTGGTTTCTGTGCAAATTGTTACACAACTACAGAATCCAATTGCAACTTAACCCTGAAGTGTAATATATTATGTATGATCAGTTTTCAAAAAAATTACCCATTAACTGGAAGCAAACATTTGGTCCTTTCCAAGTACTTTTAACCTTTAGAATCCATATTCTAGGTGCAGCAAGAAAATTACCACAGAGCCAGGACATGCATTAAATATCAGGGGTTAAACTAAAGATCCAGAGAAAACAAATGAAGCAGTGATTCCTAAATTAGAACTGCATCATCTTATAAAAAGTCATTGTTTATGCCAATTTCTCCAGGTGTCAGCTGAATTATTAATGCAAAATCAGTCTTTCACAATAGCAGCATCTGGCAGATGCTTTCCCTGCTTCTAGGGAGACAGAGTTTATGCAAGTGATGTCAGTGAGGAAGCTTCTCTTATTTTTCTTCTGAAGCTGTTTGGTAATTTATTAGCCATAATTAAAATAGGATGATTTTCTAGAGTTGACATCTTTTAAGCCCAGTGAGGAGCTGTGTCCCAGCACCCTGTGTAAGAGGAGGTGAGTGCTGCTCCCATGGGAGGTGTGCTCAGGCATTCCAGGGTTTGCAGGAAAACCTCGTAGCCATCACCAGCACAGGACCTTTGGAGTGTTGTATTCCTCATTCAGGATAAGTAAAAATTGATTTAAAAAAACAAAAATGTATTAGGAAACTAAGGAAAGCCGATAGATCTGTAAGATTATTAAATACATTTAGGAGTTACTTCAGTGGGACCATGGTAATTTTAAAAACAACTCCAGAATGCTGAGTTTCTCTAATCATAACATTAAAAACATGTACAGCTTTAATCAGGTTTCAAATGTTCGTGTACTATGGAGATTAAGACAACAATAATTACTACATTGTTTACCTCTATCAGAGAAATGGTTTATAGCTGTTTTCTCTTTAAAAGTAAATTATAATTATAATAACTTACTGTTATTACAATATTTCTGCATCCAGAAATCTCAGAAGTGGAATCACCCACAACATTTAGAGCCATGACAGAATTTTATCAGCAGCTTGTTCTTGTAACTCTTGCATGTATTAAAATAATTGTTGGACCATAAGTAGAAGTTAAGACCCTGTATATATTTCATGTCAAATAGCAGAATGTTGCCTCTCCTTTTTACAGTATATTAAAAAAACCTTCTCCTAACACAAGGAGAAAATATGTTCTAAAGAAGATATGGAAAAAAACCCTCTTTTTTATAAATAGAGCTAAATACTTAATTTGTCTATAAAATTGAAGTCCTGAATGTATCATAGAAAAAAAATTGCTTATTCTTACATCTTTTATTCTTACAAATCAGTGCAGGAATGTAGTATTTGTATCAGGGGAAAAATGGGGATTAAATAAGAGTGGGTATATTGAACTGACATGTCTTAAAGTATCTGAGCATTTAAAATGCCCAGCCCCAAGATAATACTGAGATACAATAACAGCAAATTCTCTGACTTAAACGCTGTGTGGGTGTTTGTAGGTCATTTCAAGGGATTTTCCTCTCAGTGTTGTATGTTCAGTAGAAAACTTCTCCTTGCTAAACACTTATTTCCCCCTTTATTTAGCTGGTCTGTGTGGAAATATAAATGTAAGGAGCTTCAAGTAATCTTAGTAACAATTCCCATCATTACTGAAAAAAACCCATGGAGTAACTGAGAGGTTGAGAGAAAACTGATAAGAGATTAGAGAGAAAATATGGAACAGAGAAATGAGTGGTGGGAATGCAGAAGACAAGGCAGGGGTAGAATGCAGAACTAAAGGTATATTACAGGTTTGATGGGGAGCTAGACAAAGAACAGTGGTACTTACTTCAAATGTGAAATTCAGTCAGCAGTTTCTTTTTCAATTGCAATTATTTCCACTGCAATTAGGAATTTTCAGGTAATTGCTGTGTTTATTCTGAAAATAACCTGAGTCATAACCTTATTTGAAGAGTAAATTTTAAATTAACACATGAAATTTCTCCAAGCACTCTCTCATCAAGATTTTTAGAATCTTTCATTTTGTATGGATATCAAGTATAAATATCAGTAACTAATGCTAATTTTTTTTGCCATGAATATTAAACTTTGTGCTTAAAATCTTATATGAGGCTCTTTATGATTATGTTAAAGAGAAGCTGCTGTGAAGAACCAGCAATTTCACAGTGCTGTACTCTGATAATCTTGTATAGTTTTCTTAAATAAAGTCTCCTGACTCACGTTGGAGACATTCACTGAATCAGACAGACCCACAGCCTAATGAGGGTCACAATTTAAGGAATGACATGGTTTTTACTGTTTCAAAAGAATAATGGCAAGACACCTCCTCACTGTGGGGTTTTTTTCATACTCTAATATTTTTGGTCATATTTTGAAAAGGAAGAAATATGTGTAGACTGGTAAGTACCTGAGAAATTGGCTGTTTAGGAGTGGTAGGTGGAATCTCATTTGCAGCATTGTCTCTGTACTTGTCTGCTTCGTGGGGTTCTCAGCAATAGACAGAAATCCAGTGTGAAACCTTTCAGTTAAAGGTTTAATTCCAGCCACATCCAGGAGTAGCATCTTTACCTGTGAAGTTATGTGGTGACTCAAGAATTATCATAGAAGGTTTATATCCAGGTGGATTTCCTGGAAGAATCATGGGGATTGTATAGAGTATGATACTGCTTGTTACACAGTTCACTCTATCTGCTCTGAAATGTTCTTGCAGCATAGACAATACATGAATTTATTTAGCCAAAAAATATTCTAGGACAAAATGTTAGAAGGATTTTTGTGACACTTGCAATTTGTTTTCAGCATTCATGGGGGAATTGTTTTGCTGTCATTTCACTTTATTATTTCTTACATATCTATTTGTATTATCCTCAATATCCACTTTTTTCCTTTTTTTTTTTTTCTTAATTTTATTTTTTAGATTCATAACCAATACCCGACAGAGTTTGAGTTCAATCAATATTATCTGAAGTTTCTGGCTTTTCATCACATATCAAATCGATTTAAAACATTTCTTCTGGATTCAGATTATGAGAGACTAGAACATGGTATGTGTGATCTTTGTGTCTTGCATACTGCTTGTGTAGTTGTTGATATTTTTCTCCTCAGTATTTGGTCTACAAAATCTTTGGCTGGGTTAAGATGGTCCAGTAGCTGAGTGGTGACCCCAAAAGGAATTTCCATGTCATGAAATTACATTTCAGGTGTAGAAAGGAAAATGGAGGTGAAGAACATGTCGCATTTCCTGCATCAGTGATGCCTGAGCTGTGCCTCTGATGGCCCTAGGAGAAAGTAGAAGCAATTAGTGCCATGCCTAAGTGGCATAAATTGCTACATTTTTAGCAATTTTTCCAGGTAGTTCCATTTTCCCTACTAAATACCTTCTTTTAACAGAAACAAAGTCTCTGTGAGTCCATCAGAGAGTGCACAAAGTTTCAAGAAGGAAAAGCCTTTCCATCGGTTTCCTCCCACTTCTTCCTCCCGCATTATCTTCAGTGTTTCTCCTTTTGTATTTTCTGTTTTACTCCATCTGTCATGTGCAACCTGACTGGTTCCAAGTCCTTAGCTGCCCTCAGAGCCATTTTACTGGGGCTACCTCACCCAGCTGAGGCTGTTCTTGGGACTTGTCCACTCAAACACACTCCAAATTTCTCTGCTTTGAGGGCTGCTTCTCATGCCATATGATCAATTGTAATGCTTAAAAAGTGTTGCAGCTGTGGGGCAGATTAGACTTGAGCAACCATTTTATTCCAGAAAAATGTTAATATCTATTATTTATCTTCTTTCTTTATTTCCTCTTGCAGTGGCATTTGATAGTAAAGTTTGCTATACCTTCAATGTGTGAAATTCCATTGGGCTGTGCTTTAGCATTTGTTGAGCATTATCCCAAAGCCATCTTTTTGCTGCTCTTCTTTTCCCCAGGGACATTGTTTGAAGATAAAGGAGATAAACATGCCAAGAAAGGAATTTGCATTTGGGAATGTATTGAAAAGATGCACAAAAGGAGCCCTATTTTCTTCAATTACCTCTATGCCCCTGCTGAAATTGAGGTATGATTTTTCTTAAAATACAGGTGGTTTGTTATTATGAGTGATTTCTTGAGTACTTTTTGGTATCTTAATTGTTCTGAACTGAGTTAAGTATTTGGTGGACAAAAATGACCCTACCTGATTGACTGGAGCAGTATCTGAAAGGCATGGAAATGTAATTTAAAGGGCCAAGTTCTGGAACAGGTATTCATGCATCCTGGTAAACTAAATGAGGTTCCCTGTTTGATCTCATTAAATTTTATTAATTATTATTAAAATTGTCTTTAAAGGGGAACTGAGTTGAGAGTCATAATGGGATACATTTCACATTATCTACATCTCTGTCTTACATGACAATGTCTGTCCCCTAGACTGGGCTGTGTCTTGAATAATTCTAGAAAATTCACAGTGCACTCACCATTGTAGAATTCAATTTAGAATAATCTGGAAAATACAGGTATTGTGTTGTAAATCTGAAATTCAAAGGCTTCCTTCATGTCATTTTACTAACACTTTGTTTCAAATAGGCACTGAAGCCAAATGTAAATATGTCCAGCCTCAAAAAGTGGGATTATTACGTAGAAGAGATTCTGGCTACAGGTCCTTCCTATGATTGGACCATGGTACCTGCAAAATGCAGTGTTTCAGAAGAAAATGACCAAGCAGATGGTTCAGTCTCTCAGACTAAGAGGAAAATAGTGTGGCCATGTTATGATGATGTAAAAAAAATACAGCCTGATGCCATCACCAGCCTTTTAAATGTGAGTACTTGTGTTGCACAGAACAGTGAGTTCTTTTATGCTCCTGAAATTCATATTTGCTTTTTACTGAAATTATTGCCTTGCAGATGTACTGTTCTTAAAGGATCATGATAGATGTCAAAACAGGTTTTAATAAGACTGATCTGGAGATGTGGTGGAGGTTCTGGGAATCAGTCAGATTTCCTGCAAAGCTGGTGTTGTTCTGGATGCACGCTTCCCTGGGAGCATGCTTTAATTGTAGTCAACAACTACTCATGGATTCATTTCTTCACTGTCTGTTTTAAAGAATAAATAAAATTTAGGTTGTCTTTCATAGCAAATGCAGGGGCAGTTATTTTCATTTGGGCAAATGGTGAATCTTGCTTTCTTCACTTCTTTCTCCTCGTTTTGAAGTAGGTGTGTGGTAAAATAACAACCCAGATTCTTGGACAGATCAGAAAATAGAATCTGACACTTGTTGATTGTAACAATTGAGAAGCAGATACACAAACATAAACTGAACATCTTGGCCCACATTTCACAAAAAAGCTTGCCATGATTGCTTTTAGTTTATTCATGTTTACTAAAAGCAAACTGATAAATTTAGATATCTTCAAAATATTTTGGTACTTGAAATAGATGCTTGATTTTGGCTTTTTCTTGTTTGGGCTCACTTAGGCTGCTTAGTTTCTGTCCTCATTAGAAGATGAAAAATGATCCCATTATCATCATTGTTAGTAGTGATTTAGAGTGATTTAACATCTGTTATTTAGAGTGATTTAACATCTGTCTTCTCTTAAAGATGAAGGTGTTTGTTGATTACAATTAATTAACAGCCTAACATTTGGTTATCATCATAATTGATAGTGCAGGAAAATGACAAGGGCACTCCTCAATTCCATTGTTTTCAGCCACTTGCATGTCCAGATACACATCCCTGTGTGCAGTGTTTTATTTTGAACACTCTTTGCAAACTTTACCTTAAATTAAAGCTGGGATTATGGAGCCCACTACTGCAATGCTTGGAAAATCAGGATGTGCTCTAGGCCCCTAGTTCTCCTGATTCAAAGGTGATTTTTAGCAAGCCTTAAAGCAGGAAGCTTCTGAATGGATGTGAGTCCTTGTAGATTTTGATAGGGAGTTAGCTTTATTCTGGCTTATTCTGGCACATTCCTCAAATTCCTTTTGGTCTGCTCCTTCCAATCCTGATTGATCGAACGCAGGACAATGCTCGGTAAAAAAAACAATAAATCAAGAGAATCTCATGTAAAACCCCCCCTGTAAGAGAGTCAAAACTTCCCAGAGGCAAAGGGAGAGCAGTCTCTCAGCAGGGAACATTTTGGGGATTGTTCAGCAAAGCACAGAGAGGTTTGTATCAGGTAACCAGAGGCCAGGAGCACATCAGGAACACAGCAATGTTCTCCTGCATTTCTTCCCAGGGTAGGTGCCAGACTATCCATGTCCACAACTGTGAGAAACTGCCATGTAACAGGGAAATTAGCCATGTTACAGGCTGAAGAAATGTGGGTCAGCTTTTATGGAGTTTAAATGTTATTTGTGAATTAGATTATAGTAATAAAAGATAGCAATGGAAAGAACAGTTGGAAAACTTTGGAGAGGTTGTATGAAGGTTACAAAAATATTCTTCTAAGTTTAAAAAGCAAAGTGAACACAAGTGTTCTTTTAAAACAAGTTGTTAATTTAGGGCTATTGCTGATATAGGAGAAAGACCTCCTTTAATCATAAATCCACTGAGAATGTGTTGGTATCCAAAAAATGTTTCAATTGAGACCATATTTAGCATCATAAATTACTGGGGAAGATTGAGTCTTGCTTAGTTTATAATGATAAGCCCAAATTTGTTTGTTCTAAAGATATTTTTCAACTGAAAACTAGATAGTGCACTTCAGGATGTAAAGCTGAAACAGAGAAGTTATTGAGTGCCTTAATTCAGAATTTTCAGGGTAGAATGTGATGCTCTTCTTTTAAGAGTGGATCATATCCTGGTATTTGTAAGAATTGTGAGAAATGAACCTGTGTGCATTCACAGACATATTGTGGGTGCAAAAGAGGAGATATCCAGAGTTCTGGAGCTGCTGCAGATGTAACTCCTGTCTCTACCATTCCAATTTTACAAAGCAGGTTATATATCAGATCTTCTGGAAGGCACAGTAATACTAATTGCTGCTCATTAATTGCAGGAAATGAATCATCTCATAATTGAATTTGTCATAAACATTCTTTTATATATATTTCTTTCTTATATATATATATATATTTCTGCTCCTGTAAGCCTGGACAACAGCAGATCAACCAGAGTGTTCAATTTAAAGATTTTTTTTTTCTTTCAAGGAAATGCATATACTCAGAATCCATTCCACACATGGAAAGGAAAAAAAAAATCTGCTGCTTTCCGTAAAATTTAAAACTGAAGAGGCAAGAGTAAAGCTTAGTGATTTATTGCCATGTATGGTTTTTTACATGGGGTCTATTAAAGGAGAATTTAGTCCTGACTTTTCAAGTTATATACAGGAGATTGTTGAAAGTTTTTTGTGAAAGTTTTTCATTTTAAGTTCTGGAAGCACTACTCACTATGGAGCCAAAAAAGAAGGAATGTGACCCAGTTGCTAAGTAACAAGTTTCAGTTACTTCCAGATTCTGCAGAGAAGGACTTGTACTCAGAAGTCAAGACTAGGGCAGAAAGAGAATGATCAGATTAAACTGCCTAACTTAGGGCAATAAAGAGCTTATATCCTTTTGCAGCAATTTGGAAAGGATGTTACTTTAAAAAGCATCTGGTAAACTGATTCAGTTTTATGCCCCCAGAAGTGTTTTCCATTCAGCATTTCAAAGACAAACAAGTCATCTAGAGAAGGCTTTAGTCTGGCTTGTGTTCATCATTCCTTAATTTTTTATCTACCTGAAGATACTCCAAACAAAAGTATTCTGGTTTCATTTCTCAGCAGAAGGAGAGCATATGTGACTTTCAGCTACCTTCAGTATTTCAAGCTTCTTGTTTGATTTTTACTGTTAAGCCACATTCCTTATATTTAGTTTCTCTTTGGAGTTTTCTAATTTATCTTCAGCAAGGAAAAGTTTGTAGAAATATTTTGTTCCTGTTACATTGTCAAATGTTGGCTTTTTATTTTCACCCGAGTTCAAAATTTAGTTCAGAACTTAATTTCCTTATCAAAATGTTTTCTTACTTTAAAACTATAATAATTTTCTGTCTTTCAATTAATAACAATTTCCTGCAAAAATTACAATCCAAAGATCAATAGGATTTGGACAATATTATGAAATCTACTTTAATTATTAAGTATGGCAGAAGTAAGTAGAGACTTTCTCTACTTCGAAAATAAATGTCTTAGATGCTTAGTTAGCTTCTATATAGCATGAGAAACCTATGTCCTGTGGCAATTTTTTATTCCATCATTAATTCTTAATTGAATTTGCAAAATTGAGGTTTTAATTTTATTTAATTAACAAGAAGATTCAGTGTAGCTGTTGAAAGTATAAATGGAGAAAGGAAGCATGGCAAGGAATATGGACCACACTTCAAAGTCTTGACAAAAGTATCAATGAGTGTCCACAAGTAAACATAAACTCATAAAATTGCCTCTTCTTACTTAACTTTGCACTGTCTTATTAACAGGAAATAACCCTAACTGGAGGTTATCAACATAGGTCATATTCCCAAGTTCCACAACAAGAACATGTTGTTACAGTTTGGCATCCAGATTGAATAAATCTTTCTGTTTCATTTCCTTCTTTTATTACAGCTTTGTATCACATTTTATAAACCAGGGTAAATGTTAATATTGGCAGTGTCCAATGTTGGTGTCGCAGCACAGAATTTGTTCTTTATAAATATTTTCATAAAATACAGCCTGTCCTTATCAGTGTTGTGTTTCTGTTATGGCAGAATTTTCTGTTATGGGTGTTGAATTTTGTGTGTACTGGGGGGGAATTGGAAGCCTGGTGGCTCCTCCAACCTGGGACATGCAGGACAAACAAAATGTGGCTGATGCTGTCCTGGGGTGCCTCTGAGTCCTGATGCTGATGGCTCTCAGTTCATAGCTCGTGTGACAGAGGGGTTTGAACTTCACTGGGTGAAAACACTAGCTAGAGAATTGTTGTTTAAAAATGCTTGCCAGGGAGTGATCAGTTAGAAATGTTTATTCCTAAGGAAACCCTTGTTACTCGTTTCAGGAAATCGAGAGGTTGGAGAGTAAATTAAATCAGAGCCCAGAGAGGTGGCAGCTTTTGTGGGAAAGGGTCAAAATGAATCTCAAGGATGACAGCAGACAAGACAATGTAAGTAGAAAAGAGCTTGACCAATGGAATAATTCCATTCCTGCTATATAGGCTACCTGAGGCACTGACAAAATCACTGTATTTCTTGGAGTAAAATCCTGCTTTTGAAAAACTGAATATGTTGTTCTAACCCATGATATTGGCTTTTTATTTCTTCATGTTGAAAAATGTATTTTTACTTGTGCTGTTTATCTAGTTGATTTTCCAAAGTAGTTGAAGGCATACAGATAAAATGAGCATTTTACTAATGTAGAAATGTGTGATTTTATACATTGGAAAGATTCTTGAAGTACTAAAAAAGTACTTCAAGCTCAGTTTCTGAAAGTAGCCAAAAGGATTCTCAGAGATACATAAAGACATTTCCACGGCTAAAGGGATTTATAATTTTTAAGTAGAGATAAGAAGTATTCATGCTTGTGTTTCCAATTCCTGAGTGAGGTAACAAGAGGAGCTGACAGTATAGAAACTTTTTAAGTCAAAGGCTACCTCTTTGCTCTCTGTGTGCTCTCTAGAGCACCTAAATGCTGCTTTTTGGGTGCTTGGCCTCTGAACTCTGCACACTGAGTTACCAGTTCAAGACTGTATCAGTAGTGTTGTCATTTAGATTAAGACCAAATACAGAATCCCTCTTGTTCCAGGCTATTGAGATTCTACTAAAATAACATGGATCTATAAAGCAGCTCTTGGAAGCCATAGTTTTTCCTTTCCCCCCTTCCTTCCTTTTGAAATCAGGGAAATTTCTTGTAACAAAATGTCTGTCTGTTTTCCCAGTTTCTTCTGAGAAAGCAAGGCAAGCACTGTTCAGGACTATGTCACTGGAATATGTGAAGCTTTTCTGAAATACTGATTTCTCATACCTTGTGAACCCTTCTGCCTAAAAAATGCAGGGAATTGCCATCCCTCTGCCTTCTTCTCTGAGGCTGCACTGAGTTGTATTAGGAAGATTTTTTGGCCTGACAGTAGTTCCCACCTCACATGTTGTACCATGTATTTCTTATGAGTACAGCACTCATTGTGAGACCATCTCACAATGCAAGACACATTGCATTACCTTTTCTCTCCTATTTCCCTCTTTTTCAGCTCCGGAGACATCCTTCTGGCTCCTCAGGGATGATGTCACCTAATCTGCATTCCTATCAGAAGAGGTCTTTGTTGGAAATACCTGACAGTGGGCTGGGTGAGGAGCAGAGTTCAAGCATCTCTCCCTCCAATGGAATAGACAGAAGAACAACCACACTGTACAATCATTTCACATCAAAGACTGATGAAAATAGGTAAACTGAATAATCAGACAGTAGTTAGCAATAGCAATCAGATAGTATATCTGAATATCATTGAATAATCAGACAGCAGTTAGTCATATTTTATTAGATTGGTTAAAATCTCTGCCTTAGGAAGCAATGAAACTTTCACGTGCAAGGAACGTTTTGTGGCTACCTTATTCCTTCTTTTTGGATTTGAATACTTTTAGTTATCTCAGTGGGTGTGCCTCTCTCTCCTACCAGCATCCTTCACCCCTCCCTTTCATTAGATGCACAAGCAAATTGTAGTTGTACATTTAATGCATCCAAGGTACTAAAAGGGTGTTTTATCTGTGTATCACAGTTACCAATAGCTAAACTATTGGTTTGAATCTTGCTGGTTTTCCTGCAGGAAAATAAGTGTTTCATATGTATGTTGAAAGGGTTTAATATGTATCATTATATCCATAAAATGGGGTCAATGCCACTGTGTTTTCTGTCCCTCTCAGATCTTTTGAAGGTACGCTGTACAAAAGAGGAGCTTTGCTAAAGGGTTGGAAACCTCGCTGGTTTGTGCTGGATGTGACAAAACACCAGGTAAAACTTTTTAGATAATAGACTTCTTTTATTATTATGTTGCTCCTTTTTTATTGCCTGAGTTGGTATAGATTGGTCTTACAAAGAATATTAGTAATGATGATTTTCAGATGTGATGTGTGCTACATCATTTGTGACCTATCAATGTTTGTCTTGTGTGTTTTGTAGCTCATACAGAATTCTGAGTGGACAGAGGAGTTTTAGTATTTTGCCTTTTATTTTATAGAAAGAAACATATAGGAGTATTTTATAAAAATATATGATTGTATTTTAAAAATATACAGGAGTATTTTATATTAGTCAGAGTCATGAAGTTAGTAGCAAAATTATTCATAAGTGTCTACCTAATCATTGTACAAAAAGGAGCACCAAAAATAGACATCTCTTGGTCTAAACTTTTTATCCAATTTACAATATATGCCAGAATTCTGCAGTAGAAATTTATGGTCTTGTTACTTCAAATAATGTTGGGTCATCAGGCAGTAAAATATTTTGAGCCAAATATTCCACAAAGTGGAGGTTATAACTTCTCAGACTCATGTATGCTTTTGTTTAAAAAAAAATTAATTTATTGTAGTCCATACACTTTAAAATATGTAATATAGATAAAGACAGGCATCTCTTGAAATGCTAACTGAGTACTTTGAGATCAATGTGGTAAATACCAACAAATGTGCTGTTTATAATTATTCTCCCTAATATATCCTATATATATCTTATATATAGGAGAAAAGGTTCATTTTGCAGGAGAAAAAAAAAAACTTTTACATTTTTTGTATAACCAAATAACCTTCTGAGTATGATAGATGTAGGAGTGATACAGGTCAGTCCTAGCTGGAATTCTGTTGTTTGACTTCTGCTGTGAAAGTTTCTGTTGCTATTTTGCATTGGCTTATGGGAATTTGTTGGGGTTTTGTTGTGGGGGCTTTTTTGGAACTTGTTTGCATGTTGGAACTCACTTTACAGAGTGATTAATATCCATATCAAAGTATCTTTGCAAGGACAAAAAAAAAGCACAGACTTTGTTCAACCTCTATGTGCAGTATAGGAAAATGTGAGCTTTCTGTGTGGTTTATAATTACCTAAAATTATACTTAAATTTCTGCTGATCACTTTAAATTCTTGAAATAGAAAGGATAATTGTTCTCTCAATGCCTCAGTGAAGTAAAGCTTTTGTGTTGGTTTTATGAATTGACCAGTGAAGAAATGGTTCTGCTTTCCTGCTTCCCGTGCCCTCTGCCCAGAGCAATCCGTGACTATTTGCTTCTCTGCTCTGCAGCTCTGGGGACAAAATACTCTTCCCCCACCTCCTCAGCTCCTAGTAATCTTTGTGCTTCCCACCCTTAGCAGTCAGTGCCCCCAGGCTGTATCCAGGAAAAGGGAATTCATCTGAAAGGTCCATCTAAAAGCACGTCTGGGTTTTCTTTTCTCTCGTGTTCCAGCTGCGATACTACGACTCCGGTGAGGATACAAGCTGCAAGGGACACATAGACCTTGCAGAAGTGGAATCTGTGATTCCTGCTTCTCCAACCATTGGAGCTCCAAAACATGCCAGTGAAAAGGCATTTTTTGATGTAAGTATATCTGGTCTTTACTTGATCTTTATGTGAAACTTCCTTCCTGTGATGTGTTGAAGCTCCTGGTTCCAGTCCTGCTGGAAGGTGTGAGCTTGGAAAGAGCTGTTGTGCCATCTCAAGACAAAAAAAATTTATGTAGCTGGCATCACTCTCAACAGCAATAGTTCAAAAATGTTCCATTCAGACCCAATTGAGTATTGCAGTTTGAAGTCTGCAGGTTTTCTTTTCCATGTGCTGACATCTTTGTGTCCTTGTTTTTCCCTTGCAGCTGAAGACAAATAAACGTGTGTATAACTTCTGTGCCCAAGATGCACAGAGTGCTCAGCAATGGATGGACAGGATCCAGAGCTGCATTTCAGATGCATAGAAAGGAGAAAAATGTTCCATGATAAAGTCCCATTTAAAGCACCTCATCCTGGAAGAAACTGAGTTCTGGAATGTTACTGACACACAACCAGCCTTCCTTACATTTCAGCCATTAAAGTTCATAATAAGTTCATTTCTGTTTAATAATTATAACCACTGTAACTGCTATTTTTTTTTCTGCAGGGAGGACTTGAAAAAATAATAATCCATTTATCCTGATTTTCATCCTTCTTCAGTACAATTCCTAGCTAGAAAAGTGGGTTGTATTTGCACTAGCATCTGATCCCAGTTTTCTCATTTCAGAGCTACTCTGTTAGGAAATATGTCCAAAGGAAAGTGTAGAAATTTTCCCTTCAACCAGAAGTGTATTTCCACTTTATTTAGATTTTTAAGCAGATTGTTCTTATTTCCAAGCTAGTCATGAATAAGAGGGAACATGTCTACAATTCCTTAAAGCAGATAAATAAATGAAGCTTGTGAGTCCAGTGACATACACACCAGGTTGCCAATGTTTATAGACAGTAGATATTTTTAAAGACCAAAAAAGTGAAATTGCCTGATGCCAGACTTTCAGGTGTCTTCTCAGTGTGCAGGTCATTCTCTATCTTGTGCTCTGCTGAGTGCTTCTGCAATGTTGTTATGGAATTTCAGAATCTAGGGATTACCTGAAGACCATAGATAGCACTTTTATTTTCGATTCTGTTTGCAATTCCCATGGGATAAACGAAAGAAAACTGGCTGACACTACCCTGGAGAAATGGAAAACAACAAACTAGGAATTCAGTAGATGAAGGATCTCTTGTGTGTGAGTTGTATGTGTTAATTTATATGCTGTTCTGCTCACTGTAAAATAAAAAATAACGAACATGATAATGCACTAAACAATGAAGCAAGCACTTGCACTGAAATCTTTACAATGCAGACATTTTGCAGGACAGAGGTAAGTTATTTGTAGCAGAACAAAACAAAACTAGCTAGTTAACAGCATTTACAGATATTAGATATGTACATAATGAAAAAAAAAAGTTTGAGGTGTCGTGATTTGATACTTTTTAAACATTTTTTTGCACATTAATTGGAAGACTGTTTATAGATTTTTACTTTTGATGAACTTGTGTTTGTTCTGCTTAAAATCCTGGTGAAACATTTTTAATAGCCCCAAATTAGTTGAAATTTTACAGTCTACAAACAATGAGGACTTTGAGTAGAATATGTAGGTAATTAAGCCATTGTTTTTACTTTGAAATGTTAATATGTTAAATAGCACACTAATATTACAAAAGGTCTGTAAATATGATTCACTATTTTCTCATTTTTCCAGACGTTCTGCTTGTAATTTAATGTCAGCCTAACCAAACTGACTATACTTACAAGATTTTTCAGTTATTAAACTTTGTGGGTTTTTTTATAACTAATGTATTTTGTCAGAAAGGAACATAGATTTCTCACCACACACAATAGGAAATGCAGCTGTTTTTAATGCAATTGCAATTTCAAAACAAAAATATGAAGGATTTTTCTAGCATTTTTCAATTGACAAATTTCCACCTGTGACAATGGTGTTTGCACATTTGTATTTTTCTTTGTATATGAAGTACTTTTATATGTACTTTGTAAAATACTGATCCTGTTCTTAGGTTATATGAGGATATACATACCACTGCTTATTTTGTAACTGGTCAATTTTAACGCTTGTATGTTATGTGATATATGTATGCTAACCATCTTGTAATAAATACACTCCTTAAGGAAAAGTAAAAACTTTCCTTTTACTGTAAAAGAGAAAAAAAAGCAAGACCCACCTGTTGAAATATTCCACCAGGGCACAAGACAAATCCTTATTTACTCTGTATTAAGAATAGTGGGTGTATTCAAAGCTACGTGGTCTTTTGTATACTTGTAAATATTCTGACCTAAAAGTTGCACTTGGGCATCCCTAACTCAAACACTTGTCAACAGTAGCACTAAAGAAATCAGAATTTAAAGCAAAATTATCATTCTAACAAGTCTCAATGTATAGCCTTTACCAAAAGGCTGAATACATATAATGTTCATACTGAAGTCATTGAATACTAATGTTAAATATATTTTTTAAAAAAAAAAGATTCTGTATGGTATCACCAACATGAGTCAACTGCATAATTTCACCCTGAGACGTATCACACTCATATCACCTTATGCAAAGATGATCTAGTTCCTAAAAAGGAAACTATAAAATAAACAATGGCAAGGTCTGACTGGAGACTGTGCATGTGAATGGAATTCCTGGGCGTGGTGTGGGACAGCAGAGTCCAAAGGGAAAGGGAACGTGTGACAGAGGTGGGACCCGTGGCAGTTCTGGGTGCTGTGGTGCTTAGAGGACCTGGTTTGCATATTGAGCTTGGCATGGATGCTAATGTTGCCTTAAATGTTGATCTCAGTTTTTAGTGTCTGTATTGATGGAAAATGGACTTGAGCAAGTTAACTTAAAAATACCCAAATAAAAGCTGAACTGAGAGACGTGGTGTTTGTGGTGTCTGTGTAGGGAATGTACAAGGGAATGGTAGAAAAAGGCTCTTGCTGTGAGGACACAGAGTTTGCAGTGTCACCCTGGAGGTCTCTCCTCTGCAAAATGAAGATTCCAACAGAGACTTGGAGAAAATGTGGACAAGTCAGCATAGCTTAAGTTACAGGGTTTGCCACCGTGCTTGAGCTGTATCAGCAGCAGCAGCAGAGAATTAGGGACCGAGAATTTGTCTGGGAAAAATGCTGTGTACAAAGGGATTCAACTTCCTACTGGAACATTTTCTAGAAAAATCCACCCAGGAGTTGGGGAGGAGCGGACGTGCTCCCCCTGCTGTGTCACATCCCTATTCCACTCTGTGCATCAGAACATTCCTGCTGTAGAAAAGAGAATTACAACATCCCAGGGCTTACAGGAGGGGAGAGCAGTGTTTGTCCTTCTCTGTGTTCAGTAACAAAACACCCCTGGTGTAGGTGGAGGAACGAGTTTAGGCTTTGAAGAATTGTTACTGAGGTATTTTATCAGTGATTTCTCTTCCCTATCTAACAAGTGTTTTCTATAAAACCCCTTTCTTTTCATGGAGCCTTAGAATTACTACACTGAAAAATAAAATACTTAGCATGCCACACGTGTGGGTCACTGGTTATGTAATGGTACACAAACAGCTAACAGACCCAAGAACAAATGTTCAAAATTTTGTGTCACATCCCACACACATTATTTGTATCTGATATTTTGTGAATTTCAGACATAACAAAAATGCAGTGATCTTGTCCAAATACTGTCATTTTGCCTTTTCATCCTGTAATATTCTTGGAGAATATTGAAGTGGCTGCACCACATTTCTCATTTTTCATATTTGTGATCATCCAAATATTTTGTCTGTTCATGATTATCCTGTGGTTGCTTTGGAGAGTCAGAAAACTGGGATTAATCTACCCATTCCCCAGTTTTGCTGAAGTTCATGCTGAGTATCACTGTTGCACCTACTCTTTGGGGTTTGTCTGTATTTGATCAGTTTCTTCCCCACTTTTGGCTACTGTGCAAGCCAAGGGCAGTGGTAGCATCCCCATTCTCGTTTAGGGAATTTTCTTCTTCGAGTTTTTCCACATCCAGTTTTTCATTAACTGACTGTCAGTAAGGATGCTGCAGGTTCAGTATTGTTTCCTCTCTTCACTTACCAGTCAATATCCAGTGGGAAATTACATTTTGTCCAGTTTCAGCTTGCATTGTATAGTTCAGGATTCCTCCTTCCTCTTCAAATTTTGCTTAGAAGTCAGAATTTGCCCACTTAGAATAGGAAATGTTGCTTAATTTTGGCACATTCTCAGTTTTTCCATTGCCTACTCTTTGGTGAAGACGTGTTTAAGTGTCTTTTGGGAGATTCACAGGTTCAGATTTCACAGATTCAGATTTTATCTGCAACAGGCAGTAGTAGGAGATGTTAATAGTTAAACTAAAAGCACCACAGTACTGTCCTGGAAGGAGATACAAAGGTGGCAGTTCCTTCAGGTATTAAATAGTGCTTCTTTCAGGTATTGAATAGTGCTCCTTCTTGCCCCTTTACTCACCTAGAAAAACCTGAGGCATAGCCTTAATTTATTTTATTTATGGATGCCTTGTTTATCAGTGTACATTCAGCAAATATCAATGAATACTTTGTTGTTTAATGAATTTCTCTCACTGTTCAACTCAAGAATTCTTGGAATTCAAGCCTGTCACCAAACAGGAACTCCAAAGCTTGGTAGTGTCCATCTGAATTCTATTATCTGTCCAAGAGTTATGCCAGGTGCAACATCCCTGTTCATGTCAAGACCTCCAGTAAGTTCAAATTGATAATATCATAAAATTGTGTGTAATTATCAGAGAAGCTCAACATAGTGAACAATAGTGCAGGTTGAACACTCTCAAATTTAATTAATTGTATGCCCAGGCTTTGTTTGTGTTGCATTGCTTTTGTGCCATCCCAGTAGTTAAAACTTCATTTTGCTTCTGCTGTGCTCACATTATCCCTCACATTAAATATTTTGATGCAGTAGTTGAAGCAAGTACTTGCACTAAGTTTTCAATCAAAAATACTTTGACTATTTAGTATAAAGCATTCAAACCTTTGTAGGATTTCATGCAGTCAAATGATTTGGAATTGAAATTCTCATTCCCTACTTTAAACAAAATACTGTTGAAGAGTTGGTACTGGAATTGCCATTGATTTTTGATGAAGCTGGGCAGCCTGTTTCTCCAGGATGCTGGTAAGATTCTTTTTATATTCTTTTTTAATTTTCAAAGAGCTCTCATTTTCCGTGCTTCCTCAATTAGGATAAATCATGTATTTGCTGCAAAGCAAAATTAAGTTTAAAAATCTCTTCTATTTTTGGACTTAAAACAACTAGTTTTCTTCATCTTTAAAACTGTTTTCTGACCAAAGAACAGTCAAAACTTAAGTCAAAATTAACTTGATTTCTTCAGCTTCAGGCCCCTGACTGAAAGGAAAGCTTGCAGAAAGTCTTAATCTGGTATGAGTACAAAAAGCTGGAAAATATCCCATCAAGTGCTAATGAACCAGAGGCAGGCATTAACTGGGGAGCTGCTTTTGGTGTGTGGGATGGTGTCAGTGACCAGTGAGTGTGTGATGTATGTTAGCAGTGGCAGGGCAGGCTCCTGACAGCCTCAGAAAGTGTCAGTCTCTTGCTACAGCAATCAGACCTCTGGTTTGAACCAGAAATCTACATTTTGCATGCCCTTCTTCATGCATGGGCTTTGAGGCTTTGCTTCTTCAGTGACACAAATTTCTGGAGAGAAAAATAATTTTTCAGATAAGCTGGTTTTATCAGTTATTATTTCAGTCATTAAAACCACACAGCTGACCACACAGTGGCAGGTGTGACAAGTTTCTCAGCCTAGCAACAGAACCCAAACATGCAGATATTTCCTGTGATGCTGAATGTGCTTTACTTCAAAGGCTGCTGCACACAGGTTTTTGTCATGCAAGCAGATTTTCTGTTTTTGCTACCAGAACTAAATGTTGCTGTCAATAAAGTCATAAATACCCCAGCAAGCTGCTATGGACTGCCACTAAATTCTTTTAGCTGTTGTCTGAAAGGCCTCAATTGAAAAATATTTCTCCCCTGGCCTAGGTCACTGCATGCCTGTAGCCTTTTGGTGTTCAGGTATTTCCTGGAAAAAGGGTTCTGTGCAGTTTCCCACTTTATCTTTTCTCAGACCTGGTCCCCATTTCATAGTGAAACATTATGCATATTTAATTCTTTTAAATTAAATTCATACAATACTTGAGATAAGGAGAGCTTTCTTTATTTCATGATAGCATCTCAAGAAAACTGATAACTTTATTTGAAAAATATGTATGGGCAACCCAGACAGACAGAGTTCCTCCAGTTTATATTGGGATTGCAGCCCAGCAATTTCTGTTCATTTTCATTATCAGTTTGAGTTACATGAGAGTGTGATGAGGCCTCCAGTGACACTCCAAATTATAAATTACTGGATCACTGCTCTCACTGGAGTATATTAGAAGCTGGCATTTTAGATAAAGCTCTTCCCACCTAGCCATGATGAGCTGAGATTATGAACACTCTGCATGTCAGGAGTGGAGAGGGGCACAGGAGAAGCAATCCCTGGCTGGCTGCTGTCTGCCAAGGGAAGGAGCTGATGCCAGGGTAGAGCAGAGAGGACACCAGCCATGGGAGCAGCTCAGTGCAGGTGCAGCTGGCAGACAGGGCCAGGGAAAGGCACGGCCAGGACACAGTGGGGTGGGCACAGCTCTCAGTGCACGTGGGAAGAGCAGCCCTGGAAGGGGATCCCATTCAGCCACACCTTCAGCAGCACAGGAAGGTTTCCCATCTCCTGTGCTTCCCCCAGGGCAGATGCTTTATCTGTTCCCCAAAGCCCCTCTCCAAACTTGTCTCACTCTCTGTTTTGGTTTTGACCTTTACTTGCCTGACCAGGTCTAAATTTAGCTGAGAGATTTTTGAGAAGCAAAGGTGACCCCTGTTAGCTCGTGGCCCAGGGGTGCCTTGAATACTTGCAGGTGCTCTGAATGCTGCAAGCCAAAAGGAAAAAGCTCTTTGTTTCTCTAAGTGCTCTGAACCAGTGGCTAGTTCAAGCTGTGCATGTATATTTTGGAATTTTGGGGAGCTGAGTGTGGTCTGCCATGAGGAATAACACTGGATCTGAGCCTGGACTTCAAACACCCTCAGCATTTGACAAGTGATTATCACTCTTTGGAATTGGATTTAACAGCACTGAGGAAAGAGGTCAATGTGAAGCCAGCACCAAGTGTGCTGAACTCTGCTCCTTGCAAATACCATGGCTAATGTTGCTATCAGTGTCTCTCCAGGAGAACATCACAGCTTTGTTTATCAAGAGCCCACTGGGCCAAATTATTATCAGCTGCTGGGGATGGGTACAAAGGATGCACTCTCAAGTCTCTTCTTGAATTTCCAAATTCTTTCCATGATGTAACATACTTATCTGCTGTGTGGGTATGCTCAAATGTGGAATAACTTATAATACACGATTTTGTCATACAGTAAAATATGGGTGCCTTTGCCTTCGGTTTATTGCTTTAACCAAAACAATTTGATTATAAATTTTCTTGCCTTTCTCCAGTGTAGCTGAGCTGCCCAAAAATTGCTACGTCATTGCTGTATCCTATTACTAATTAATGCTAATGTTATTTTGAGATATTATGTAATTAATATTGTTATTTTCTGTAGGACAGCATTCCTAGCAGTTTGAAACACCAACACCACACCTAAAACAAAGTCTCCCTTGGTACATCCAGTGAATGTTTTTTCAACCAGAACCCATATAGCAAACATGCCTGTTCCATTTCATCTGCATAGGGAAAAAGAAAAATACGTGATATGGCAGTAAGGTGGGCTCAAATATCAGTATATTATATATATATAATATGCTAATAAATACTTGAGGAAAGAAATGCTACTTAGAACTCCTACCTTTGCTGCTCTTAAAGG